AATACAATGGTGCACACAATATACATGTTTCCTTTTTCATAGACTTTATCTTAGCAATGGGAATCCATTACAGGGCTGTAGTCACTGGATGATACTATCTGACAAAGTATTCAAAATTACTTTGTGTGTTTTGGTGGGGAATGGCAGAAGTTGCAGTCAGGAAGATAAGCAGTTACTGTGTGCTCAGAGTAAGACATGATACAGATGTGAGTTAAGGTAGTAGTGCTTTGTAACTAATTGCATGAGAAAGAGAAGTAAAGTGACCATATCTGCTGGGGGCAATTCCAATTTTTACCTCTTGTCCTGTTATAATTATTAAGAGTATCCCCTTTCATTTATAAAAGCATCTGAAATTGGGTGATAAGATTATGTTAAAGCTGGAGAGGCGAGAGGAGGATTAAAGAATGGCACTCATGTTGCCTGCTTGAACTGTGTTAATCATTGTGTCATTTACTAGAAGGGGAGGAACTGGAAGAAAAATTAAGGTGACAAAGAGTTTATGTGCTTAGTTTGGACATGGTGTGTTTAAGGTATCTGTCATACTTAGAAGACATACTAATAAGATGATCGCATGGGTCAGGAGTTCAAGTAGGAGTTGTTAGTTAAGGATAAATTGATTTTGAGAGTGATCAAATTAATTTGAGAGTTATCAGCAAGGGCAGTAACTGAAGTCATGGAAGTGGATAAGATCACCCCAGCCAGAAAGGATAGGAAACAACGTCATAGACTGAGGTCTCTTAGGAACTCAAAGGTACACCTACTAAACAAGGATGGGCAAACAAGAAGATATGGCAAGAAGAGACCAAAGTCACAAGAAAACTAGGAGATGCCAATAATGGAAGCCCCAGGCAAAGTGTTACCAGAGGAGAAAGAGGACAGCAATGTCCAGTGCTTTTAAGAGGTCAAATAAAATAAAAGGAGAAAAGTGCCTATTGAACTCAGTAACTATTAAGTCATTGCTGATGGTCTGATTGTAGGATTTGACAGAATGATTGAGGTGTCAACGTAGACAGTTTTCCAGAACTACAACTAAGAAAAGAAATACGTATTTTTGAATTATCAAGAGGATTTGCAGAATTTGAGTGTTGTCTCTGAAGATATGCTACAAGACCATCTAATATATTGTACTTAGAAGCTTTGATCTCTATCATGAAGGCAAAAAAATGATTCTGTTTGATCACAGCTGTTAGAATCATTTTGATTTTTTGGTAAATTTATGTGATTTTAAAACTATCTTATTTTTAAGAAGTGGGAGCAAGTACACAGTTTATAAAAAGTTACTTTAGCCATTTTTGCTGCCCCCCAATGGATCTCATAAATTTGCTGAATAAAAATACACTTTAGTTTTTCCTCACTGTGCAAAAAATTATGCCACTCTTGGCCTCAGAACACTGGGGATTCTCTGAATAGTCTTTGGCAAATAAAAAAGGTAAAGATTTATGGCAAAGGAAAGCATTTCTGAAAAAAGTTCTCCATATTATCTTTGTGTACGTGCATAAATTATATAAGGGCTCAAGGGTGCAACTTCTACTGTAGCTTTTGCTCTCTTTGAAGAAAATATAAAATGCTCACTTAGAGGCTACTATTTATATTTCTATTCATTAATCTTCTAAGCTTGAATGATTTTAAACAGGATATTTATGTTCCTTAGTTCTAGTAGGCCAAGAACTTAGAAAACTTTGTGTGATTAAAGTATCTAGTGCAGTGAATTTATACAAACATAACTTCTAACAAATACTTTTGGTAGTAGTAGTAATAGTAATGATAAATATCAAACTAGAGATCTTGAGAACTCACAATCAGGAAAAACAACCACCGAAACACATGGACTTGAAGAATTTGATTAGCCTTCTATATTTATTTAACAATTATGTTGAAGATTGGTGAATGCTCTTTGCACAAGAATTATAATCATAACAGATGAAACACTCTTACCCAACTGGAGTAAATGAACTTGATAGGGTTTTTTTTCCCCCATTTTTTAACCATTTGGTAACTATAAATTAGAATCCCATCTTTTTGCTTCTTTTTACTTTAAAGACTATCACTTTAAAGTAATAACATGGATTTGCATAATGGATTATGTAAGTCTTAATTCTCTGCACTCTGAACACACCTATAGTTTATCAGTATCTCTGTGCAATGGCATTTCACTTCTGGGACCATTGTTAGGTTAATTTTTCAGCAAATCTGTATTATTAATAAAACTCTTAAAAATCTTCATGTTCTGAATTTGAAATTGTTTACCCATCATTTTCATGTCAGTTTCGTTATTTACACAGCCCAGGTATTATTAAAACTGTTATTCATAATTCATGGTGACAGTTTATTTTTTCACCCTGCATTATCTGTGTTTGGTGGAACTTAGTAGTTCTGAAGAGTCTCATAAAGTATAACATGCTATATATGGCATAGTATCCTTAGAAAATTATCCCATGATATGTCAGACATAATGGTTCATGCCTGTAATCCCAGCTATGGGGGAGGCATAGGTGAGAGGACTACATCTGAGGCCAAGCCTGGGCAAAAGCATGAGACTGCATCTGAAAAATAAAGAAGGGAAGGAGGGAGGGAAGAAGGAAGTTATCACATGTTAACAATGTATTGAATTAAAGTACAATATTAAAAATTGACCTTATCAAAGAAGAACTGACCTTTCAAAGCATCATCAGAAACATTTAATTCTGTAAGTCATATGCGTCAAAAAAATCACAAAGGGATTATTATCCTCTGAAAGCCAAGAATAACTTAGAATCTGAGTACCCTTTAATTAACAAATAATGAAAATTTGTCTCATGAACAAAATTTTTTGTAGGGTTTTCTAATCAAGCATTCTGTTTCTATTCTATTTGAGTAAGTATCTGTCAAACCCATTTAATGGGAGTCTGCATTTATGGAAAGTGCCAAGTTATGGAGGAAAACTCCCTTCCCAAACTAAGGGGGAAAAAGCTGAATGCTTACCTCTTGCTTAAGAATAACTGTTACCAATTACTAGTACTTGAGGAAGTTTTACCTATGCAACTAAAATGGTAAGATAAAGTGAACTTTATCTTTGTTTTACCCAGTTAATTGTGTTTTCTTTTTCCAAATTATTTCTTTCCCATAGTTTAGCTTTAAATTACCATTTTGTGAAATAATATTAATACTTTGTATATTTTGTAATTTTAAATTTCATACTTTGGAAAACTAAAAGTGAACCTGTTAGTCTTTTTGTGGCAGAGACTGTGGCTGGTGAGAAAATTGCAGCAAACGTGGAGATGTGGAACTGGAGGGGGTGGGGGGAAAAGAAGCCCAAGAAGAGAAGCTAAGGAAAGGACTCAAGTATAGAAAAAGTAGATAACGTTGTAAAGAGAATGAACAAATTGTCCACTGGAAACATGAGGTCAGGTTTAGAGCTTTTTATGCATTCATTCAGCCACCATCTCTGGACTCCAAATGCAAGGTGCTGTGATTAGTACCTGAATACTGTTTCCCAAATATGCCTAATCCTAAGAGTCCCCACCACCATCCCATCTTTTGCCATGTAGATTCCTAGCAACAGGAGCCATAGACCTGGAAATTTGAAAAATGCTTTGTTAAAAAATAGAAGATATATTAGATTTTGTTTCTGTCCTTGAGCAATTTGTAATCTATGCTTAATTCTCTACGTGTCAAGGTTTTTCTATCTGTAAATTGTAAATAATAATACTTTTCCCATTCAAAGTAAATGAGGTAAAAGTAAAGTATCTTCAGAGAGTTTCTAGGGCTTATATATTGATTAAACTTTCTAATTTTAATTGTGTGTGTACAAGAGGGGGAAGAGTGGCTTTGAGAAAGAGGGGAAGTGAGGGAAGTAAAGCATCAAGAAAAAGAATCATCATCTCACATTTGTTCCCCGTGTCTATGTATTATCTGAGTTCTCTTGGTGAGAGAATGTGAAGTGTTGGGTATATTGCTTTGCTTATTCTTTTCTTCTGCCAAATTATTCACCTCAAATCTTACAAATTCATGCCTCTAGGAGTTGGGCTAAGCATTTACTCAACCTAACCCTGTGTCCCAGGCAAGTGTTAGTAACACTACATTAAAGCACTGGGCATTGAGTCAAAGAGGGGTTATTTTTGTTTTTGTTTTCATTTCCATCTTCTGAGACAGGATCTTGATATGTAGCCCAAGGTGGCCTCCAACTCTTGGTCCTCTTGCCTCAGCCTCCCTTGTGCATGATTGCAGGTATGTGTCACCATATGTGGCTAAGAAGTATTTTCTGAATGAACTGATAAAACACACAGTCTGACCACATTTCTTTGTATTTTGCTATTTAAGAAAGAAAATTATATTCTGACTTTAAAGAACATTTGGAGTAAAATAGTTTACCATTCTTTTATGTTAACGGCAACCGTGCAGTCTGTGATCAGATTTCCAAGGTCATTGTGTCCCTCTTGGAAGAATCCATAGCAGGGCACACGGGTATAAATGGAGTTTATTAAAAGTTAGGGAAGGGAAATACAAAAGAGGGAGCATGGTGGGCACAGGTGGAATCTGGAGTCAGAGAGAGCATTCTTCTCCAGGTGCTTTTAAAACTTACGCTGACCTAGGGGAAGGGCAGAACTGGGTGATACCCATCCAATATTCAGTGAATGGGAAGGAACATGGTCAATGCCTGGGCCAGGTGAGGGTGGTCTGAGCCTCCCTGAGTCAGGCTGGAAAATTTTACATACATACAATATTAAGTCATATATTTTCTATGAGACCCAAACGTTCTCCAACTCTAGCCTGCCTCATCTTGATTGTACTTCTGGGTATTTAGTTGTTGTTGCTTAAAAAAAACAAAGACAGAAAGAAAAAAACCTATAGAATGAAAGCTTTTCCATTATCTTCACCCTAAATTCTCATGCTGTGGTTTAGCATGCTCCTGTATTTATTTGTTTTGGTTACTTTTTATAGTAACTTTTGGCGGGGGATGATTTTCCTTTCTATGATAATTAGCTACTTTCAGTAACTTATTTTTTTGATTCATTTAGCAGCAGCAACAGAAGAACCAGAAGTAATCCCTGATCCTGCCAAGCAGACAGACAGAGTGGTGAAAATAGCAGGAATTAGTGCTGGAATTTTGGTGTTCATCCTCCTCCTGCTGGTTGTCATATTAATTGTAAAGAAGAGGTAAGACCTGATATTGTCCTGTAATACTCACTGGTTTTCAAATACTTTTTTTTTTTCCTTCAAGCTCTTTTAAATTAGAACAATAAGAAGAGTTTAATTTTAATAAGGTTCATACTTTTTAAATAAATTCTTGTTTGGTTATTTGAAGTTTAATTTTGGTTATAGATGTTTATTTTTTATTAGTTATGAAAATAATGTAAGAAATTAAATTTCTAAAATACAGACATACTTGAGACATGAATTTTTCCTATTTGAAGTGTTACTGTTATTAAGAATAACAAAATACAAATTTTTTGCAATACTTGGACTATAGTCTAGATTATTTTGTACTCTTATTCTGTATTTTTCTAACTTTTGACTGCAATAAGATATGAAATATATAAACATTGTGTAACGACATTGTATATTAAATATTCACTGACTAGAATTTTTAAATGAAGAGTAAAATTTTATAATTGAACATTATCTTTTATACTATTTCAACCACTATCACCATCTTACAGAATTCTATGAAGATATTGAGACTTTCTGGAATTTAAACTACTCTGTTTTAGAGATTAAATTATATTTCTGCTGAAAAGCATTTCAAACTATACAATTTCTGTTATTAAGCTTTTGACCATTATATAAAATGTCATGATCTGTAAATCACTGAATTAGAAACTAACAGCACTACAATTCTTTCCAATCATGTATTTTGGATAATGTTATTATTTTCGAAGAAGACTTTAAAAATATCATTAGATAAAGAGTACTCTTTAACAGCTTTGTATATAGAAGTGGTAATCCTTTATTAATTCTATTGAATAATATAATAAGTGATTTTGCTTATATTACATTAAATCTAATAATATACTATTTCAATTATTTTATACTCAAAGAATTAGCATTAAAGATAAGACTCATGCTACATGTTTTAACAATTCCGTGAGAGTTTATTTTAATATATTGCCTCTTTACAATTATCCCCTGGAGATATATATGTTGGAGAAGACACATCTGCATTAGAAACATTAGGTACGCATTATAGTGTTTTGTGTTAAATTAGCTACATATGTGCTTTCCCCAAATAGTGCTTTCTCTTTTTGCTGTTGTCTACCTCTGTGGTTGGAAAATACATCATATGTGAGGCAAAAAGACTTAGGTATTTTAGAAACACAAATTTTCCAATAAAGATCAGTAAACTCATGGAATATAGCCTGCATATCTTATGTCTGTCTAGTTTGAATTTGTATTTGAAGTGTGAAAAACTCAACACTTCAGGGATAACTCTCTAAAATTGCTTCAAAATCCAAATTATCCTGGTCACTTCAATTTGGATGCCTGGAAGTGGCCTCAGATTATGTCCTCACACAGAATTAGATTATTCTTAGTTTTACTTGTTATTTATTTGAAAATACTTATTTGTTTTTTATTGCTGTCCTTATCAGTGACTCTCTGTTTCAGAAATAATAAAAAAATTAAATAAATTTCCAAAACTATGATAAAACAGTTACTAAGCAAGATTTTTTTGTGAGTGGGGGGACTAAAATGTTCTGACAACTCTCTAAAATTTCATAATATAACATTATTTTTCTGGTTCATGTTTTAAATGATTGGGTAAATGAGCCTCTATTAAGTGTTGAATGTTTGAGTTTTTATAGTTATGCTTTAATTGATAGAAAAGTATCTAGGACTTTTGTTCTCTTCTTTACAGTTCCTCTATGACTAGGGAAAGGTTTTAATTTTATAGATGGATAAAGTTCCATAGGTTACTTTCTGGTGTATGGTGTTTCTAGTACTGTGTCTAAATTACTTAACTCCTTACTTACCCAAGCAACTTTGAAATGACTTTTACTCATACATAGTGTGTGTCACACATATATAATATATGATTTTAAACATGAGTATATTTATTATAAATACACAAAAAGGATAGTTATTATAGCAGTATTGAATCAAGTTTACCTTAAAATTTTTAGGATAGACTGTAGTTTCCCTTTAAATATAGAAATTCATGTAAAAAATAGAAAAGCAAAATACTTTAGCTTCTTATCTGCATTTTTATGGGAAATTGTTTCTGAAGACTTTTTCCCATACTGGGAATGAAATATGTAGGTATATTTCTCACATTGAAAAAAGTTCCATGTGTTTTTGGTTGTTTTGTAAAAGAATGGTTTGGAATTCAACTAAGTAAAATTTTACAACTGAGGGTATATATAAAGTAAGTTTTTAGGCTATGAAAAGGGATATTGCATCATTCAGAACGCAATGTCATTTTTTAATTTAATTGCTCTTGAATTATTTCCAAATGTATGCCATTTTCCATTGATTGTGTATTATATTTTAAATACGCAGCATGAACATATTAAAAATTCCAAACAACAACTTGAAATTATGTTTCAGTACAGTAAATGTTTGTGTATGATACCATGTTCACATGCATCTACTGTAGAAATACCTTTGTGTATATATAGTATTTGGTACATATGTATATTCACATAACACATGTATATACCTGTGTACCATTACAGTATGAGTTATTTATAGAAATTTAGGTGTTACTTTCCATATATTATATATTAACAAAATAGATCTTTATGTTTTGCATCTAAAGAAAAATAGTCTATTTAGTATATAATTCTTTACACAGCTGTTCCATCTGTCATGACATTTAGATGGTAATGGATACTTTACTGCATGTTGAAAATACACAATCCATTTAATTTTTCAATTTTTGGCAATAAAAGAAATGTCAGCATGTTATTTTTTCCAAATTATGTACTTCAAATTTTATTTTATATTGCATATCTGTCTGTTTAATTGCATGGCAAAAGAAATCTAACAGTGCATGGGCAAACTGAAATGCAAAGCAAAAAACATGAATTTTATTTTATTTTGTTTTATTTTTTTAACGCACATTTTTCTGCTTTATTGAATGTGACAAAGTCATGCTTTTCATTCACCATTGCTTCTCTTTTTCCACTGTCTGTGATTTGCTTGCCAGGAGGAGCTACTATTCTTACTCCTACTACCTGTAAGTAGAAAATGGGTGATGTACGACTTTTCATGTGTTAAAGATGCAGTATCCCTTTTCAAAAAAAAAAAAAAAGACATGATATTTGTAATTTTGGTGATGTTTCCAAAAATATGTTTTTCTAGACCCTAAAACTATTAACTATTATCTATTTTAGCAATCTTTTTAAAAAGGGATATTGTATTTCTGTATGTTCAGCTACTTTTAATTTTTATTTACAATTTTACGTAAGTAGCTTTATTCTACAGCCAAAAACATCATTTAGTAACTTAAATCAATCTATACTTTATTTCAGCAATATGGCACTTCACTCACCTGGTAAAGAATGTGGTTATAACTCCGTAATCCCTCTCTTTATGTAATACTGTTACATTTGAGAAAATGAGCCAAGTGATATGTTCATAGAAGAACATTCAAACTGACCTCATGGGACGCAAATCAAATCAGGTCTGCAAGTGATAGTATCTCTCTCCACAGTGCCAGGAATACAAGAGGAGTTGTAAGTTCAGAACACCTTTGCTGGCCATTAAGACACTCATTATGCTTTTGTAAAAATAAGTGGACAAAATCATAATGTTGCAGGGAATAAAAATCCCTTTTCAGAACAGAAAATTTGAGCTTGTTCATTAAAATTTAAATAGGACAAAGACTTTATAAAACTAAGCAAAAACAGAACAAAAACCTTCTTGTCCATCCAGTCAGGAAAGAGCACAGACTTCACATTATCTCCTTTGCCCTTCCAGAGCCTACAACTAGCCTAGAATTAGGTGTAGCAAGCTCATTTACATAAGGATAGAGGAGACAGTCCATTCTCTTTTCTGAGTCATTTTCAGTTTATCACTTTAGATGCAAGACTTTGGATCTATCCAATCCAAAGGAATGATGTGACAACCCTGAAGGCTTAAGGATTAAGTATGTTTGGGGCATATATCCTCCAGCATTTATATCACTAGATAAATTTAAGCTAGCTTTACAAACAGAATTTTATGATTCAATCACTATAACACAATTCTGCCAACATTTTAAATATTACAAACATTTGGCTTCCTAAAATCTGCTAAAACAAGCAGGTGTAAAATAACAGTGCTCCTAGCTTATTGTGATGAATCATAATATGCTTGTTAAATCATGTTTGATGAAGCCAAAGGTAATTAACTGTACCATTTCATACAATGATGGAATACTTTTCCCCTTTATGGCCCACCCATACATCCACCTGCAGAAGTTTATGCTGTTGGCTGCTTTGATAATGAAAGTCATTTGCACATCTGTCAAACTCAAGTACTTTCAAAATGAATTGTTTAACTGTCTTGAAGTACACAATGCGTGCTTGGTGCTCAGCGGAAGACAAAGCACGAGACATACTAGAACCAATAAGTATTTAATTATGAGAATGTCAATAATCCTACCATTAACTGTCACTGTATCTGTAGAATTAGAATAGGATTCGTTTTTTGGTACATAGTTAACATTTCTGTATTCTAGACAATGTAACAGATTATACTTATGTTATTGTGATTGTTAGGCCTACTGATATTTTAAATCTTACCTAGCAAGAATATCAGAGACATGCTTTGAAGGCTATTTAAATATACCTAGTGACACTAATCTGAGTCAGAGTTTTATTTTATAAAAGTAGAAATAAACTAAAGTGGAATTTAGAAAACCACATGTGATCTTTGAGCTAATTTTCCTTGGCATTGTGTCATAGTAACTGTTAGGTCTTTATGAAAACACTTAACACTGATATTAGTGTTTCTCAGTTTTGTTTTAACCTGAATGAAAGCCTACCTCACAGGGCTGTTGTGAGGATTAAGGTGTAAGAACCCAGCTGATAATACCATGTCTTGCAGATATCTACAAAAGTTATATTCTCATATAATTTGCTATCAATCTGTTTGTGAAAGTGAAAAATAAATCTTTTATTTCATGAAAACTTTCACTTTTCGTGCACTTGAAAAATTCATTATTTGTTAATGTTCCTTAATCATGAACTACCTAGAAATTATACACATTTTAAAGTCTGAAAGTTTAAAAATCATCATTTCTACTTGCTATTTTCTATATGCCCAGTTTCAAAACATTATTTTGAATCCAAGCTTCAAGTTGTCTTACTTTTATCTAATTCAATCTCTCACTTTTTTTTAACCTTACTGGAGATTGAACTCAGGGTCTTGCACATGCTAGACAAGTGTGCTGTACTACTAAGCTAAATCCCCAACCCCTCCTCCCTTCAAAGAATGGAGTTCATAGTCAGTAATGGTAAAATGATTCAATCTTAATCCCTTTTACCACAAAATAGCTTAAGGGAGCCCTGAAATATAATTATTAAACATCCTAAAGAAAAGATACTTTATTTTTGTCATTGTGACTATTTTTTATTATTTCTGTTTGAAAATGGCCAAAACAAGAAATGAACAGGCAATGAAGCAAAAGCATGTTACTAACATAATCAGACTTACAAAAGAATAATTGCTTCATCAAAATGGGGGGCGAGCGGGGGGAGCATTTCCTCGGATCTACTTACAGACACACCTGAAAACTTACTTCCTCAACCAAACTCTACACAAAATGAGAAATTGGTCAGAGGAAAATGTGGCATGCACAGTATATATAAAACTGACATTAAGTAAAAAACCAAAGCAAATATATAACTCAGTAAGACCAGAAACCCCACATATCATGTAAGGCCCTTTAATACATGTGATGTCATATTTTAAATCCAAGAAAGTGAATTAAATAGAATTATATAGATTTGTGATTTCCTAACACTGTTTCTTAAGCATTCTAACTTACTTTTTTTAAGCAATCCTTCCAAATTTAAGCAATCTTACTAAATTTTAAAGGAATGAATTCTTTATTCTGGCCTCAGAAACGAAGATTGGAAGTATTTCTTAAGCGTTTTTGTTTTAATTTTAATTTGTTTTAAAATTTATAAATTGCAGTACAAATTTATAAATGTACAGCAGTATAACTCAGGGTAATTAGTAATTTATATTATAGTATACTTCATAATGTGACACTAAGCACAGTGTAAGCAAGTAGGTATAATATAATAGCTTAGGTTTTGATACCAGGCCATTCCTCATTGCTTATTAGATAAACAGCATTGGGTAAATTGTTTAACTCCACTGAGCCTCAATGAACTATAAGATTAGAAACCTTCTGCTTTTCTCAGTGGATTGATCTGAAAATTGAGTTAACAAATGAAAAGTGCCAAGCACACAAAAGTCCTAATTATCTATTAAACAAGTATTTAAATTATCTATTAAACAAGTTGGATGCCTGCTATGTGCTAGACGCTGCTCTGAGTGTAAGGATATACAGACAATCTTTCTCTTCCATGGAGCACACAATGGGGAAAATATTTGCAAAGTTATGTGGTGTGTTAAGTTATTACAAAGGACAAGCATGACACTGAAAACAACACCTGAAAAAAGGCTGTATTGGGAGCAGCTGTACAAAACCATCCTGACAAAGTGTCTTTGTCTTTTAGCTGAGACAGAATGGATAGAAGACAGCCAGATATTAGAGGGTGAAGAATGTTGTAGGTCCAAGAACAGATAACCCTGTATGAGGGCCTGGAGGAAAGCTTGGAAAGTGGAAGTCTGTAGGCTAAATATGAACTGGTGATGTTTCATTAGGCCCAGTCACTGTTTGGAAAAGTAAAAGTACTTGAAAAAATATATATATATTATAAACATTCTGAATCATGGTTTGTGTTCTTTTTTTAATTCCAAGTCAGAATTTCAACACTCAGATCAAATGCTAGTTCAGTCAGGAAAGTTGCCCCTTAGCTGCTCACCAGTTCTTCAGTCAGCACCCTCCATGTGGTGTCTTACTTTTGACATGTATTTCTTTTACCTATCTGAAACCTACTCTAAAAAGAAAAATAACAACTGTTTTAGTGTATGGAGCATTTGCTAGTAAATGATGGTGGTGGTGGGAGTAATTATACTTTTGTCTTTGTCTTAAATATTACTAATGCTCTAATTATTATTTCTTTGAAAAAAGAAAAGTCATCTCCAATGCCAAATCTCAGGTTCTGCTTCTCTCACTCAGATGTCAGGTCTGTTGTGTCTGTGAGTTGTGTGTATTGGGGATCTAGCCCCTAAAGACAAGTGCTACAATTCTCAGAGAGAAACCCACTGGAGTACCTCTCACATTGCTCGGTGAGGTTTTAAGGAAACACCTTTGGACATAAACTCAATCTATCACATGAGCCTTTCTAGTATTGGTAGTATATTTACTCTGGTACAGACACTAATGAGGATCATAAGAAAATGTCTTACCTTAAAATCTAGCTGAGAAATGATGTTCCTTAAACAGCTAGAGAATATTTCCAAGGCAACATAAACTGCTGCCATAAACTTAGTGATATTATTTGCTTAGTACAGACTTTTACAGTGTCTTTATTTATATCATATATAAATTCCTGGTAAGTGTGATTTAATTGTTGTGTATTCTCTTAATAGTTTTTTCACTTGCATGTTTCATTGGTAACATTCACAGAGCACACACTATATTTTATATTCTTCATATGTAAGATAAACGGGTCAGTATTTAAGTACTTTAAAAATGCTAACTCTGATCATTTCCAAATACCCTAAATAATTTGTTCTGCTATTCAGAGGCATTAATACAGTGGATATTTTGGCATAGGGTATTCCAGAATAATGACACATTACATTATGCCTTTGCATAGTATTTGTCAAATTTCAATTTATGGTATTTGACTTAATATTATATATACTATGTTGTGCTATACATAATAATATATTATTTTATCACATATATTCATGTGTATTTGAATTGAAGACATTTGTGGTTGATTCTAAAAGACTTCAGACTAGGTTTTAAATAATATAAATGTATTACTAAAAACATTAGTGCTGTACGTGTTGTATTTTTACTGATGGAAAACAGACTTAAAAATGGGACCTTGTTTTGATTGGGTGGCTATAATAAAACAGACTTAAGTTACTTCATTCCCAAGAACTTCTAAAAGTTAACCAAAGGAATTAACCAGCCACCCAGGAAAAAGACCAAAACTTAGTTTTAGCTTATATCTTTCTTGAACTACCCTACTTTGGAAGTATTTATTCCTACTTTCTACAAAATACAGGGTTGGGGTTTTTTTTTATATTTATTTTAACACATTGAAATACAGGAAATGATGAGAGGTTTGGGTTGACAGCTTGAATATTGTAATATCTGACAAATAAAATAGTTTTACTGCAACCAATCAATGTAATGGCTTGAGTGTCAACTTCATTCCTGAATTTATGACCAATTCTAAGTATTTTTAATCCACGTCTGTAACTTTATTCTCAGGCACACTTGAGCTGCTTATTGCTGGTGTCAACTGTTGTTGTTCAAACCTAACACTGAGGGTTCCCTTTTGTATTTGCCTTGGCAGCAAGCTTGCTAAAAAACGCAAAGATGCTATGGGAAACACGCGGCAGGAGATGACTCATATGGTGAACGCGATGGACCGGAGCTACGCTGATCAGAGCACACTGCATGCGGAAGACCCTCTTTCTATAACCTTCATGGACCAACATAACTTCAGTCCAAGATGTAAGTTCTTCATGACAATGTTGAGAAATGGTCTTGAAGCTTATTGAGCTTGCCATGAATTCTTGCATGTTAAGTTTTGAATAAAGACAATAAGAAAGAGGAAAGAAGGAGCTAGAAAGAGAAAAAGAATAATATGGAACTCACAAGAAGGTTTATGTTCAGTCTTGATACTGGATTTAGTTTAACTTCAAACTGTGTGGTTTTTTATTATTAAATCATAAGAAATATTCCATATATACTAGTCACATCATATGATCTGTCATTGCTTTAACTTAAAATATGTGATTTCCTACCTAAAATTAGTGCATATCAGAATTTATAATTATTTTGTCAATTATCATCTTCTTTTGTGTAACAAAGTTTCTTTTAAGAAAAAAGAAACAGTAATCCTCTCTGAGAATTAGTGCATGTGTAAAATGACTCCATTTAAATTGTCCACTACGGATCTAGGAATTTCAATACTAAAATATTAACTATTAGTTTATATGCTCTAGGGTGAAGCTTACAACTGCACATTCATTTACAAGGAACAGTAAAATCCACCCATCCATCTATCCATCTTAAGAGTTACTAGTGTTGATCTGTGAAGGCAGGGCTTTGAATCTATTTTCACCGAAGTACTGTTTAATGGCAGAAGCTTTGAGTAATTATCTCATTAAATTTATAACATTGTTTAATCTTCAAATTTCCTATGAATTTTATTTTCTGCTCCTTAGTGATGTATTTGTTTTAAGTTAATTAAATTTAACTTACCTGATTTTGTTTCTTCAAATCTTCATGTAAAATTGATGTTTGGAGTAGACAAGTCAGCTTTGTCATTGACTTCTGTACACAGAGGCATTTTGTCACAGATCTAGAACTATGCATATCCCAATTTGGAAAACATGGGTGTAAGGAAAGAAGTATACAATAGAATTATTATTACTTCCCATGCGTATTGTAATCATATTTAGTAGTAAGGTTTAAAACAATGCATTTGTAAATTATATGCCATTATATCTTTTTAGAGAGGTATATTTTTTGAAGTGCTCAGCTTGATAAATTTTTTAAATAATTATTGACCCTAAATACAACCTGTCATTTTTCTCTAGTATGTATCTATACCAAATGGAATTTTAAGATGCTGTATGAGTCATTTTGGAACTTAAGTATAATCATCACAGGATCTTTTTGATCTGTTTTATTATTTTTATTTCACTATAAGATAAATGACCAGGACTGGCAGAGTAGCTCAAGTGGTAGAGCACCTGCCTAGCAAGCATAAGGCCCAGAGTTCAAACCTCAATACTACCTCCCCCTAAGAAAAAATGACAAGGAAGAGCATAAAATACTATTACTATTGGAAGTAAATTTTTCTGAAAATATAAATGTATCATCTCTCTAAGTATTTGATTTGATATTTAATAAATTATAAGTTTGAAAACTTTTCTCCAAACTTTTCTATCTGTTGCCTATGTTGGTACTGTATTAGAGAATTTTGATTCAGTCGTGTAACTATAAATATCCACTTATCAATGTAGAGAAAGGATTAAATCTACTTTCAGTTAACTGAAAAAAATTATTTGCCATGAATATGAGATAATTATTTCTGCAAGTATCTTATACTTGATAGATCTAAAATGTGTGCTTTTTTTCCCTAATTTTTTAATCTTTATAATGTCAAGTTGAATCTTCTAGCTTTTTAAATTGAACAGAGTACTGCGCTATAATTATAAATATACCTTTCTTAATGTTTTGCGAAAACCCAAGCTGGAAGAGAGAATTTTACGCTTGCAGTATACAGTAATCAAAGCAAGTTTAATGATTATATTTCTTAAGAAACCAGAAGACTATTACATAGAAAATAAAAGAGTTCAAAATACAATTTTACAGCATATATTCTTCATGAGCTTTGTTTTCCTGCAGTGCCCAATGATCCACTTGTGCCAACTGCTGTGTTAGGTGAGGCCCTATGTCTTTATCACCATGTTTATTTCATTTATTTTTTTGCATGGATCACAACTCCTTGCATGGGTTGTAGCTTTGTCCACATAGTAATTATTTAGAGTGCAGGAAGCATCTTGATATTTAAAATAGATAGTCATTGTCTTATCAGAGACAGCAACTCTGTTCAACAAAATCAGATCTAGTATTTTTGAAATTAGCAAGGTATACTATTTAAAGCTATGTATTCATTAATTCATGGTCCTGTTAGATTTACAGAAAAAGTTCAGTAGCCCCTAATGCATGACTAATGATAATATATCTAAATTAGTGGGATAAACCCAAACCCTTCATCTCCCAGGGACCAATGGTGACTGAATAACTATATTGAAAAGTCAATATTATGGTAGGGAATTTTATAAATCCTAATTTTTTAGTAACAAAAGAATACATTTATAAGTGATCATTAGGACTATGTGCATTTGCTTTAATTTTGTCTTTACTTAGAATTTACAAATTCCAGTAAAGTTGCAAGAATCTTGATGTAGGGTGTGGCATTATATGTAAATATTACATGATAAATAGTGTTGTCTTTCAAAAATTTAAAGCAAGCCACTTAGTTTATCTCTGTGTAACAACTAAGATCACTGTATTGCTGGTGATGATTCAAGCCTTTTCAATTGTAAAATTGCACTATTTTTAAATCTGGCTATGTATTTAAGAATTATATTTTCCTTTCAAATTATCTCCTATTCCTTGACTAATTATATACCAATGGCTTAGGGCCAGCTCACCTACCTATTCACAAGTTCCATATCAATTAGAAACTTTACTATTTCTAATTAAGTTTAACCCAAGGGTGAAGATATGGAAATTATCAGTTAAAAATAACAAAAATTCCCAGATTCCATGTTTATTATTTATTTTTATTATTTCTTACATGCATAAAAACTTTAGCTTGCATTTGTGCATATGCTTTTGCTATATATTCAGTGTTTCATTACACTATAAAATATTTTGAAAGATTACAATTAATTCAGTGAAGTAAAACATATCTTATTCACTAAAATAAATAATTTAATATTTGATATAAAGAATATATATATTCTAAAAGAATCTTTCTTCTACTGCACTTTCCCTGTGATGTCCACATCAATAACTGGAGGGTGGTGAACTGGGGGAGTTATTCCAACTGATGTCCTGATTATGTAAGGGAGGTGACATGAATTATGGTCATTGAAGAAGCATCTCTGCAAATGTCATCTTCTGTTGACCACTATAGAATGCTTATCATTATCAAGTAAATGAATGAAGTTCTAGGAAAGTATTAAACTCATTGGAAGGAAATGTTAAAGTTTCATTATAGTAATTTTCTAAGAGCATATAGAGTTAGATCCAAATTTCAGTACCTCTGTAGATTTACAATATAAATAAATAGAAAATACCTTATATCTTTGTTTTTCCATCTTTAAAACTATGTAGTTATTCCTACCATACCTTTTTCAGAGTTTAAACAATTACTGTAATAATTTTCCCTGTGAAAAGGGATATTCATGTTTAAGGAACATAGCATTAACACAATAATCATATGATGTGTTTCATTTTATTATACATTTTATTTCATTTCAAAGTCAACCTGCTTGATTTTTTAAAAAATTGGCATTCTTTAATAAAAGCTAAGTCTCATTAATCATGTATCAAAATAATTTATTACATAATTTATTAGAGTCATGGTGTTTATAGTTGTTTTGCATCTAATTGATTTTATGTTTACAAAGCAGTTTTTGAAATCCTTCAAATATTGCTTAATATTAATGTCTACTTAATGTTTTAAAAGGGCTTAGAAAGTTTTCATATTGATTCATATTTTTTTTTGTGTGTTTTACTGCTTCATTGGGTTTAAGTCCCTATAACTGGTAAGTGTATTGCAAAGAACTCTAGAAAACCTTTCAATCAAGTATATAGTTGAAGTTATTATTCTTAAATGTGTAATAAGGATAATGATTAGTACATGTATCCTCACTAGCAGTCACATTATTAGGTGGTTTAATGAGGTGGAAATGTATTGAGATTAATAATTCATATGTGATCATTTTAAAAACTTACTGCTGATTGTACTACTGTATTGAAGCTTAATGCAACATAAAGGCACTGTCTATTTCACATTGGGATATAGTCATCTGTAAGATTTGCAATATGGGTGAATTCTGTGTTTCTCACTGAGTCTCTTATAATTGTAAAAATTCTGCTGCTCCAGCAGGTACAGTGTGAGCTCTGGGTTTGCTCCACAGAGCTCTGGCTACCTTATTCCAGCATGGGTGATTGCCTTTTGCCTCCCTGACGTTATCTGTTCTCTACTTCTCTTCTCCAACTGTATATTCTGTGATAGTGCCTGACCACTTGCTTCAGAATTTAATTTTACTAGGGATAGGAATATACTCTTTATGTCAGTCTATTGATTGATTGTAATATTTTAGCAAAGGTGGATCAGTTGGCTATAGTCTGTCTCGTATTGAAAAGAGGTAACACATCTGAATCATGTTTGTTAGAAAATGTTTGTGTGTAGAGGGATGGGTAAAACCTGAGTAAGAGGCACTTATTCTTTTGGAAGGTTAGGTCACAACAGAATCCACCAGGAATTTTTTTTTTTTAATTCAGTGTGGTATTTTTAGAATGAATGCAAAAAAAAATACATTCAACTTAATAAGAGAGGGTAAAGATAAATGCAATCAAGCTAAATTATAGTGGCACACATATCTGATTGTAGGGTTCTTTTTTTTTTTTCCTTCTCCAGGAAGAAAAAATGTTTATCATGGGGACAACAATTCATTTTTTGCCATATCCTATTTGTAGAGTTGGTGATAGAACAGGCAAATGTACCAGCACTTGAAATATGTTTAACTGTTAATTAAATATCATTCTCTACAGTATGCATTATCATTCAAAACAAAAGTTCCCCTAAGAGTGTACTTTCTTTTCTGTTAATGAGTATGACAGTATAATGCTTTTCAAAGTAACACCCCTTAAAACATTTGTTTTTTTAAAGTGGTAAGTTTAAATGTGATAAATATAAGCATGCTTCTCATTGTAATGATTAGTACTTCAGTCATTAAAATACTGTTTATTCTTCATAGGCAAAATGTTCTTGTTCTTTCTTCCTCCTTATGACAGAAAGAGAGTTGAAAGTTTCTTTTTGTTTTGAGCTAACACAATTGGGGTGGGGCCTACACATAAATGTGGGTGGTAAGGGATTCAATTGATTTTAACTGATTATTCATTGAGATATTTATTGAACTACTGACATGTACGAGGAATAAAAAGAAAACTATCACTGTCCCTACACTCTAAGCATTCAGGGTTTAGGAAAGAAAATAGCAAAGTTACAGAATTATTAAAATATAGGGCAAGTGAAATGACATGCAGGAGACCTGGAGGTCATGGAAACAAGAAGTAGCCTCATAACTCAGCCTGCAGAAGCCCACATTTGCTCCAGCACTTCCTGGTTTTTCTCACATGGTGGTCAGAAGAGTCAAAGAATGTTAACAATAAAACCAATAACAATAATAATAACAACAAGAAACCAAGAGGCACAGACTGGATATAATTACCTGGATTGCTTGACTAGCAGGAGGTCAGGGGTGATCCCATGAATGGCCAATGTTGGGGGAGGGATATTGTATGAAAAAGCCAAAGATAATAGGGCACAGGAGAGTCACACAGGCAAGAAGAGCAGCCATGTGGGTATGGGTTGCTTAAAACAGCTCTTTGAGGGAGGTCGGGAGATGGGTTGGAAGAAATTTGTTAACTCAGTCAGCAGTGAAAGCACTTTTGCATTTGACAACTTAGTCCTCTGGTCCCCACCCTATACTGCTATGACTACAGGTTCAAGAAACTGTAAATCTCCTACTTAATTCTTTTTAAAAGTAGATTAGATGTCTCTCTGCATCTCACAGCATCTGTTCTCTTGCTGATATACATATAATGTGCTCTGGTCTCAACACCTGAGCTGAAGTGAAAGGCTTTATGTCTTTATGGGGATGCTGCTCTAGGCCCCATCTGCTGGTATTTCTTCCCTTTCCTTCTGTTATCAGAAAGAACTTAAGGTCTTAAAATCTTCTTTGCATAGAATACATATTAAACAAGATAACTTTATCTCTTTTTTAATCTTCTGGAATATGAAATATGCCAGATGAGAACCACAGCGCTACAGCAGAATCCAGTCGCCTTCTAGATGTACCTCGCTACCTTTGTGAGGGGACGGAATCCCCTTACCAGACGGGACAGCTGCACCCAGCCATCAGGGTAGCTGACTTACTGCAGCACATTAATCTCATGAAGACATCAGACAGCTATGGGTTCAAAGAGGAATATGAGGTGAAAGCTTCAGTACTATATTAAATTTTATTTTTTAACATGAGACTTGGTGAAATGTAACACTTTCCTCCCTTTAACATAGCAAGGGGTGTAATGCCCTGCAGCCTCTCTAATTCATGAATGTACAATCAAGTTTATGTATGGTGAAGGGAGATGGAATTGAAGGAAAAGAGCACTTCCTAGAGACCTATCAGGGTCTTCATTCATTATAAGCCTTTTAAGGTTGGATTTCAAGATTTATTTTACTTCTGTTATTTAAGATACTTTATTAGACCTTCCTTATATTTCACCATTCAAAAATCAAGTGGCAGGATACCCAGCGATCCATTGTACCATTGTGGATTCTGTTATTTGAATGACTTAAGTACCAGGTATTTGTCTGCCTCTTTGGTTACTGTCCCTCTACTAGAGAAGGATGAAGCTATGTGTTTAAATGCACTATTTGCCCTCTCAGGTTAATTTTGTAGGCTATTGGCTAAGAGTGGTAGAGAAGAAAAAGAAAGCACTGTGAATCAAGTGAACAACATCCAGAAACCAAAAGAATACAGGAAATTCTTCCAACCTGTTTTCATGTCCCACTCAAACCAAAAGAACAGGATTTATCTTACAAAGGAAGTAATTTGAACCAAACGTTCCAATAAGCCTAGCAAAACAGAAAAAGTTCCTCTTAACCCTTACTTACTGAGAAATGTCAGTCATTGAAACTTGTCCTTACCCACCACAGTACACACACACACTCTTAAGATGAAAGAGTGCAAGCAATACGTCACTTTCAATGATCATTCAAGATACATACAACTCCATTAAAAATCTTAATTTCACATTTTATCTACAGACTACTTGTGTGCTTTATCTGGGGAGTCAGTAAAATTATCTTTGAATCTTTATTGGTGTTTAGCAATATGCTGAAGCACTATATGCTGTGATAAAAAAATAAGTGCAGATATTACCATATTCTGCCAAAGCTGGTTCTTTTTGTTCATTTCATGTGTATCCCTGTGTACTTTGCTTCAAAGACCCTTGGCTCTTTGAAGACCCCCATTTCCTGTGCTGAGCAAAGTGTTAAGCTTTTTCTGCAAAAAGAAATCTTTACCCATATTTAAATTGCTGCATATCATAATTAAATCAATCAACAAATTCATCTGTTCCCACACTCTTGGAGAAGGGGACTTTAATTTTCATAGTCCCTGCTGCAGACACTGTCTTTTTCATGATCTTTAAAGGATCTGAAATGTGATGTATTGCACATGATTTAATTAATAATTACTGGGGAGCAGTGGGTTTTTTTCCCGTTTAAATGCTAGCACACATTTGAAAGATACTCATTAAAAGTAGTTTTTGCGGGTTTTGATGTATTATTATTCAGTATGTTTTGAAAAGAGTGGTGTTTTTTCTACTTCTATCTCACAAAGTTAGCGCTACCTTGAATTCGAAATCTTTTCAAGGTCCTTTTTTTCTCTAAAGTTATTTTTTGTTCTTTATTTGAACTCAACCCAATCCAAAATGAATACACATGAGTCCCACAAACCAACTTTGAGGTCTGGAAATGAAACTTGTTTACTACTGTAGGAATCCCCGCCTCCCTAAGAAAGTGGCTTTTACTATTTTAATCTTCAGAACCGATAAGCCTGTTTTGAAAATGAAATTAAATTCTGTCTACTTGTTAATTCTTTTCTTTTTCCCAGAGCTTCTTTGAAGGTCAATCAGCATCTTGGGATGTAGCTAAAAAAGATCAAAATAGAGCAAAAAACCGATATGGAAACATTATAGCATGTAAGTCCCCATAAAATTCTTGGTGAATGTATTATGTGCAAAGATATGTAATGAGTTGCAATTTTCCTTATATGGTTTTAAGTTTTTAGAGAATCCCAGAGGATTTGTTATAGACACATCTGTCTATAATCTATTTAATATTAAAAATATCAGCAGTCACCCTGAATTTGCCATCACCCTCATTAATTAAATTGAATCAGACTTTATCCTATGGAAAGAACTTGTTTGATTTCATGTTTGGATGTAAGTACATGGGATGATGTATTCAACTGAGGGTATCAGTAAGATAAAAAAGATCTTTTCAGTTATAAATTACTATAACACTCCTACCAAATATATTCAAGATTGGAAGGTTATTCTTTCCACGTACCTTTATTCCTCACTTGGAGCCAGGAGCTGAACTCCAGCTGCTGCATGTTATTCATCAATTGGGACTTCCTCCTCATTAAGTCTTCACAGTGTATACATGAGAAAAATAAAGTCATTAACCATGGGAAACCACAGAAGCAGTAAGGAGAGTAGAGAGTTTAACTTGTAATTAGCTGCTGATCTCCTCAGACCATCCTAGTTTGAATTTAAATAACTTAGAGTACCTAAAGTACATCAAAACTTACCCTTGACTCTCAAGAAATGAAATAAGAGCAAGGTTCAAAATTCATGTTCTCAATCTGTGGTTCACTTTGCTGAAGTGCAGAGGAAAGGGATCTTACCCATTTAAAATCGCATCTAAGAACAATAGGAAGTTAGGCAAATTCATTGCTCTACTTCAGCAATGACTCATCAGACATTATCATGTTCCCTACAAGCTTCCTAACTATGGAGATGAAAGTTATTGAACCTGTATTCCTAATTATAATTGTAATAAGTAATGAGCTCATTAAAGTTTTTGCATTTCCTCTAAATGACTGATTAGATAGTAGTAAATTATGCATAGAGTATTGTCAAGTATGGATTATAAAGACTGAATTATTTTAAATCTCTACCAGTGACATTGTCTCAAAATGCAGGAATTTTAATAGTTTTCATTTTATTATTTGAACATTTTAGATGATCACTCCAGAGTGATTTTACAGCCTGTTGAGGATGATCCGTCTTCAGATTACATTAATGCCAACTATATAGATGTAAGTATTTTATAGTATACATTATTAGCTTATGTCTGTGAACCTTTTTGCTTATTGTTACCTATAAAGTGATTGCTATCTTTTTAAATAAAGAACAAACTGTACACTTTTCCTTGTTCTACATCTAGTACTTACTGACGTTGTTGTGCTTTCTTTCACACCTGACTTTGGTTTGGGCTGTAGATATGGCTGTACAGGGATGTAAGTACCACTATATGTAAATAACAGCACTTATCATAAATAATATATATATTCTTAAGTACAGTTATTACTAATGCTTACTACTAGTTATTTCTGCATGCTTCACCTAATTAGTCTCATATAGTATATCTATGTTTCATTTATTTGTAATTCTTTCACATGTGTAAAGATCTATTTTATCTTCTTCCCTTTTCTTGTCTAGTGAAACAGGATCATTTTTGGCTTTGACAATTTATTATGTACTCAAGTTTTATTTGTTGATAATTTCTGTTTCTGACTTTTATTCTTACCCTTCCCCAAACATATGTGAGAAGCTGGATAGTATGATGTGTATTAGTGTTTCTGAAATTTTATTTTTTACATTTGACTTCTGATGCTTAAAATAAGTAGGGAGACTATTTTGTGGTATGTATTGGCTGGTAAAGCAATAAAATTATTCTGACAAAATGATCACTAAATTACATTTGTAAAATACACATATCACATGCATATATATCGAATCATGCAAGTAAAAGTTGCTTTTATTATTTATTCCACTGTTAAATTATGGTTACATACCTATGTGTACATGGATATTCTTTATTTAAGGGAAAATAATTATCAAATGAAATATAAAACACTACTAAGGAGGCAATATATATTACATTCATGTAAGGCAGACAGGCTGTTTGGCTCTGATACCTGGTTCAAAATCACACTGGCCATTTTGGGAGTGTTACTTCTCTCTGTGCCTCATTTTCCTCATCTTTACAGTGGAGCTACTGATAATAGTACTAACTCTATCATTTGTATGAAAATTAAATGAAATATGCTTGTTGAGCATTTTGCACAATGCCTAGCACATATGGAACACTCATTAAGCTTCAGTTTTTTTTAACAATTAAATTTGAGGTGCTAAATTTAATTGATTCAAAGTATGCGTGTAAGGCAAAATGTAGAAGTACAGTATCACAGTATATATGTATAACCTTTATTCATAAAAGATAGGAAACATTGCATTCTACCTTTTCCTAATTTCTATAAATAGGAAACAATTTTCATCACACTTGCAAAGTTCATATTTATTTTGATAACTACAATTATCTAGATAAATTAGTGTATTAGATATGATATATGAGTACACTGGTTAAATTTATGATCATTATCTTATTCTCATTCAGTAGGTAAATTTGTGTGACATGTCATTGTGGAAAACTTAAGCTACTCTTTAGAATAAAAGAAACAACATTTCTCCAACAAAATTATAATTTTTCTTACCTTTTTAGTTTAACTTGGGTTTTCTGCCAAGACATAAACACTGCAGACTTATTAATAATACTACTTAATAGTTCCTAAGTAATAGTATAGTTTCAGATAATAAGAACTGTCAGACTTCTTATCCAATCTTTCTACTGAGACCCCAGTGTATTTTGCCCGATTATTACACAGTTTTTAAAATTTCCTGTCTTGTTTGTTTATTATACTTGAAAGACATCTGCAATTGGTAAATATTTTGTTAAAAAGGATGTGAAGTGCTTAAAAAGCTTGAAAAACATGTTTCAATGAAACATTCTTATATGTTGATATATTATGAAGTAGAAATCTTCAAACTTTGCAACAGTGTAATGCACACATTAATGATTAGTTGTAGATCTCAGTTGACATGCATTAAAAATGCACTTAGCTATCCACACCACAATGTGGGCATATCTTACCACGGACTTTTACTAAAAGCCTTTGGCAAACACAAAACAAATTCACAACTTAACTCTATCATACCAGCAATATTTTTTCAACTTACAATTTGTATCAAGTCAAACTATTTAACTGTAATTTATATCCCATCCCTAATCAGGAATAATTTACTGAAACATTATTAAATGTTTAAATGAAATTTTGGCACACTGAAAAAAATATGCCAAACTTTTTCTTCAGGATAAGGTGCATTTTTAGAAATCCTTCTTTCCCTATTTACATGTGCACCTATGACAATGTGTGTAAATTAACATCGCCAGTGCACACAAAATAGTTATGTGGATTCCTGAACGTGTTATAGAAGAGGGACATTATCTTGAAAACAATCTTAGCGGGACTTTGATTTGAGGCACACATGCATTGTCCAGCTCTAACATTGGAATGTTCTGTTTTTTTTTTTTTTTATAGTTCTAATATGTCCTTGTTCATTTGTAATGCAGTGTGTTGTACTTTTGGATGATGAGTTAAGAATTAGTATTTTTAGACACAATTTGACCAGGAATGAATGACTAAAGATTAACATGAAGGCATAAACATTTTAGTGAAACTAAATAAAATCTATGAGGTTATTCCATTGCGAATAAAATTCTATTATACAATATATATTCTAATCAGAGCTTTGAAAACATTCAATTTCTGTCTTATGTGTACCTTTCTGACAATAGGTTTGAGAAGTGAACTATGTGTTCACTGCTCACTTCTGGACTTTTTCCGTAATTTAATCTTAACAGGTGGTTGTCTTCATCTTTTTATGCCTTCATTCATTTATTTCTGACACTGTTGTAAAATAATAACCAATTTGTTCTCCTGTTTTAGGGCTACCAGAGACCAAGCCACTACATTGCAACTCAAGGTAAAACTTTGATTTTTAGATTAAACAAAATTGGCTTATTTATCCATACGGGATGTTTTCTTTTTCCATTTTACCTGAATAAACTGAAAAAAAAAAAGATCAGCTCTTGTAACTAATACTGCACTATACTCCTTTGTGTAGCACAATTTTTTTTATCTCTGCAAAACTTAAAACTTGATTTTTTTTTTTTAATTAAAATTGAAACTCCTGGTAGTTTTTGTGACTTGGTCCTTGGTGTCCAGTATCTCACAGCTGGAAAGAGGAATTGCTTACTTTCATGCAAGAAACTCCCTTTTTGTATAAGGTGCCTGTCTCGTAGAAGACTTTATCAGCCTGGAATGCCATAATATCCCACACCATTATATCACACTATCTTCCAGAAATTTCTTAACAAGTCAAGACTGAGACAAAACAGCTAGAGGAAATTTAGTGCAGCTTATTCCTCATGGAAAAGAAGAAGAATATAGGTTAATTTTACAGGGGTGCACTGAGAAATATAAAAAAGTACTCCTACAAAAAATATCTTTGCTTGTCTCTTCAAACTGATTACTGTCCTTCAAAAGAGAAATCTACATATCTTTTATCCATAGGAAACTAAACAAAAAGCTGTGTTTGCTATCTTGACAGGTCATTTTTTAAGTGTTGTTACCATTTTGTGAGTAATTGAGTTTGACTGAATGCTCTTTAAAGCTAGAAAGTTGAACTGTTATGCTGAACAATATTCCAGTTTACGGTACTGAGGAAAGTATAGCACTACACAGACTTTTGCAGTTTGGAGGTGGCCATATCCGATAATATTAGGATGTGTCCTTGTATGTAAGGATGCTTCTTCATTAACTTGTAAACATGCACTATTTATAAAGGATGGATATTTATTTGATTTGTAATTTATTAACAATAATTTATTGGTAATTTATTATCAATTGATAATGTGCTATTCATAATAATAGATAATTTAATTAATAATATGTTGTTTGATTGAGGGTATCAGAAGAGTTCTATTTTTCAAATATACTTAAAGATACATTAGAATGACTTAGTGACATATGTAAATGCTCCCAGAAGATAGTGATATCTTCTTACGAATTAGAAAGAATGAAAGGCAAATAGAAGAAAAAAGAAAACAACTTGTATATGTCTATGATTTTTCCTGTAGTGTGAATTCAGTTATGAACTGAATTTAAGTAATCTCAGTGACATTTTGTTACTTGTAGTTATTTTACTATGCTTTTTATTTTATGTAAACTTCCTATAACCTATAAAATGTCTCTGGTAGCACAATTAATGCATGATAAATACCTAGTTAGTATATAATGCACCATCACTTTCTTCATAGGCCCAGTTCATGAAACTGTGTATGATTTCTGGAGGATGGTCTGGCAAGAGCAGTCTGCCTGCATTGTGATGGTGACAAATTTAGTTGAAGTTGGCCGGGTAAGAGAAAAAAGGTCTTGAGGGGTTTTTTTGTTGTTATTATTGTTGTCATAAGTGTAAGTACAGTTGAGAAGCACTACATCTATTATTAGGCTTATATGTTTTATGAGTGTACAAATCTATTACATAACATTTTCTCATTAATAGGTATGTTTTTAACTCTGTTTTAATTGTGGCCTAAAGAGTTATCACTTGGAATTACAGCTGGGCACCATGGCTCATGTCTGTAATTTTAGCTACTTGGGAGGCTGAGATTGGGTGGATCACAGTTCAAGGCCAGACTGGGCAAAAATTTTACAAGATCACATCTCAACCAATAGCTGAGCACCATGGGGCATGTCTGTCATTCCACCTATGGAGGAAAGCCTAAAATAGGAATATCATGGTCCAGGCCGGCCAGGGCAAAGAGTGAGACCCTAACTCAAAAATAACCAGAGCAAAAAAGGTTATTAGTATGTCTCAAGCAGTAAAGTACCTGCCTAGCAAGCAAACCTCAGTATCACCACCTTAAAAAAAAAAGTTATTATTGGAATTAAATCACCTTGGCTAAAATGTATTACACATTTAAGTCTACCTTGTAATGTATTCTTTTTATCATTTAGGTTAAATGCTATAAATATTGGCCTGATGATACTGAAGTTTATGGTGACTTCAAAGTAACCTGTGTAGAAATGGAACCACTTGCTGAATATGTAGTTAGGACATTCACTCTGGAAAGAGTAAGTATTTAAAAACTCTATTAAGAATATGTTCATTAAAACTTTTTTTCTCTTAAAATTCCTGTCAGGTTTTGTCTTGATGATGAAATCTATTCACAAATACTTATTTCAGAGCCTACTCTGTAGTAGACATACTTTTTAAACCTTATGTATTAAAGGGTGACAGGCAATAGCAGATATGTTATACAGAGTGAATAGTGTTCTAATGAACAAAGCTGGTGGGAATTGAAATCGGGAGTAGTATTCAGGTAAGGGAGAAAATGTTTACAATTTTAAAAGATGATCAGGGAAGGACTTGTTGAGAAAATAACATGAGTTAGAATCTGGGGGAAGAAGAAGAGAAAGAGAATGTTTCTGACAGAAAAGACTCATTCCAGTGCCTGAAGGCTTACATATTCCTGTCCCAAAGAGAAGTGGCCAGGAGGCCAGAGTGTTCAGAGATGGATAAGTGAAGGGAAAAGAAATATGTAATGAAGTCAGAAGAATCCCAGAGCCAGATAAGTAGGGCCTTATTGGCTGTGATGATGATTTTAGTTTAGATTGACAGTGAGTCAGACAGCATTGGAGGGCTTCGAAGCTGAGGGTAATATGATTTGACTGTTATTTTTAAGGGGAAAGACTAGAGCAGGGATGGTAATATAGGAGATGCAGGATACACTGTTGCAGAAACACCTAACAGATGTGAACACACAAAAGTGTTAACTGACTGTACCAAAAAATTAGTAAGGCACACACACAAAAGGACCTGTGATTATCAATATTATCAACTCATAGTGTTAGTACAAATAGAGGTGAAAGCACCAGAATCTCAGAAGACAGGCAACCACTGATGCCTATTTAAAATGTTTAACCGATTTTATACTTTAAAATGAGCAAGAAATTTTTTTTTAAAAATAATAATCATTGATTATATATATTAAAATAGATATTTTCGTATGTTGGTGATCATAGTTAAATTCCTTGAAGTCCTTTATAAATCAATAAAGCAGTGCATCCCTAGAACTTTTAATATTAAGGTGTTTGAATAATTTACCTTACATGAATATTTTTAGGAATTTATTTACATACAATGATTTCATTTATATATAGGCTTTGAAAATTATAGATAACCATAAACATCTCACAGTAGAAAAATAGTTAAACTATTATAAACATAATCTAGAAACACCATCCTTATCAGTGATATTTGAAAATATTTCTGCCAACAAAAAAAGTAATTAGAGTGAATATTAAATACAAAGTAGTATTATACAAAACAACATAATTATATTATCAGAACTCTAATATATGAATGGAATTTTCTTAGACAAATCAAGTAAAATAAAATAAACAATAATATAGGAGATTTCAAAAACACGACCACTAAATTTAGTGAGTTACTAGCTCTCCTTATCATATATAGAATGGATATGGAATGCACTCTCCTTAAATTTATACAACTAATAGGAAATCATTTGTGAACTTTGTTATAAAGGAAACCTGAATTCATTAAAATAAAGCTGTGTTTCCAAAATCCAATGGAAATCAGCCACAAATCACTGACCAGTGATCTTACAAATTAACCTCCTGGAAAAATGATCAAGTCCTTCACTGAGTGATCCTTGAATAATTTTCTCAAAAGTAACATTATATCATAATGTTTGACAATTTATATGGAAATGTACTGTTCTCGTAGAAAAAGCTATGTTCATAAGTGATTTCCATCTTAAAAGCCAATTTAAAACCTGTTAAAACTCAGAAAATTAGAACACCAGAAAAACATCAATAGAGCAAAGGAAAACTAAATATAGAAAGGGAACACAAACAAGGAAAAATAAATTAAAAATCAAGTCATTGAAAATATCAGTGAAGTAACTAAATCACTGTCAATTCTAAACAAGTACAATGAAAATTTCTAATACTATATAAAATATACTGTCATAGAAAATATAAGAAGCTATAACTACAGTTATATTTACTTTTAAAAGAAGTATTATAAAAATACTGAGTATGAACTTCAGCCTAGATTTTAGTTCAGAAGCATTCTAACAAATTATAATTCTCAAAATTTTGGTCAAAACAATTAGAAATATGAACAGATAGTAAAAGGAAACAGTGATTGTTAAATTTAATATTAAATAAATCATTTAACAGAATGGTTGTTAAAATTGAACAATGGTTTTATAGTTGAGGGTTCCTTATCCTTTTATTTTTTTTCTTTATTGTGCTGATTGGGGGTACCTTGTGGCATTTAGGAAAGTTCTTACAATGTATCAAATATATCATAATTGAACTCACCCCCTCTCCTCCCACTGTTCTTTGTCCCCCCTCTCCCAATTCCTGGAAGTTTCAGCAGTATCATTTTTGCATTTACATACATGTGTATCCATTATTTGCATCATATTCAACCTCCTACCCCTTTCCCCACTGCCTCCCCTCCTCCCATGAGTGCCAACCCTCCCCCAACCCCCAGCAGGACCTGTTCCACCTTCCTGTTCTCCAGTTTTGTAGAAGAAAAAAGATAAAAGAAAAAGAAAAACATGAAATTTTTGCTAGTTTGAGATAAGGATAGCTACAGAGGGAGTTTCCATGTGGTATTTCCATGCATATATATGTTACAACGCCAGTCGGTTCATATCTTTCTAAAGAATAGCCTATGTTTATTCAAACTCTTTTCACCACAGAAAACCATTAAAATCAACAAAATATACTTAAAAGCTAACATAACTATGAAAACATAACTACATAAAAATAGTTCTTTCTCTCTCTGACAATCATATGCATTGCAAACCAATTTCATTCAAAAACATGAAAAAATTGCAAAAAATATTGAAATATAGAACATTTGAAACCAGTATTGAATTAAGAAAACATCCCATGACATACCATGATTTTTTTCTATGCAAGGATATTTCAACTGTGGTGAGATATTTAGCAAGATATTGCATTGTGTCAGTACATTAAAGGAGCAATACTGTATTATTTTATTAATAGATTAATGTGTGTTTAAATATTTAATTTTATTTAAATGATCATTTGAAGTAACATTTTAATTAGGAAACATGATTTAATGATAACTAGTAGTATTCATGCCAAGGAATGGAAAATTAAACACTTAGCTTTCTGTAATCAACTAATATACGGGCTATTATTGCTGTTATCTTTAGGAAAATGATGTGGATTTATTCTCACTAGTACTCAACACTTAGATTTTTAACAAATTAAATAAAACAGCAAAAAGAATAAACTGTAACAGAAAAGACAATTTTTTAAATATTTTATGTCCAGAAAACTAGCAATAATATTTTAAAGGAAACTAGTAAACATTGATTTAAACAACTAATTCAATAAAAATATTCATAAATCATAGCTTTTCTTTACTAGCAAAAAATGATAAAAAATTCTTTCATAAAAATAAGCTCCAAAATATCCTTGAATGTATTTAACAAGATAGAGATTCCAGATGAGTAATACACAGTACACAGAAGTTACTCACAAAAGTATTAGAGAACAAAAAATAAGTTGTGAATGAACAGACACGCACCGTGTCCCAGAACACGGAAGAGTGTGGTATTAATATCGCTAGACAGGTTTTTTACAGTTCTAATGGGAACATTGCTGGAGTTGTATTTTTAACATTTTTCTTGCTATTTACAACTGAAGACAGTGATTTATTTTGGTTGGGGGGACACCTATTTAGTCAGTACTCAGAAAATTTCAAACAAAAGAGTGATAAAAGGACATCCACTACCAGATAAGGGAAAATTACTTTTGAAAGAAAGTCTTGTACATGTAGCAGAAGGAGAAAGGAAACAAGTTCCATACAGCCACTCTGGTAAATGGCTAATTTGTAACAGGTGAAATAATTGTGTAAAATCAAGTCTTAAAGTAATTTATGAGCTTCCTTCCTCAAGTTAACTTGAAAGGTAGCAAAGAAGAAAGTGAGTTTCCCATTCCTGTGAATTCAGGCTGATGTTTGTCTTGTGGGTGTTATAATTGTATGTTGAGCCCTCCTTTGTGTAGCTTATTGTACTGGAACCTGGAACTGAAAAAGATGATAAGATGTGATTGCTGGTTTTCAAGGTTTTGATAATATTGGCTTAGATATTGATTACACTCTAAATAGTCTTTCTCAATTTGTCTTTTTTTATTTCATTATTAACTTATTTATAATGTTTTTACATTTTCTGATTGAAAAGGTGACATTGTGTCATCATAGGCAGCTCACAGTAAAGTTAGAATTACATGGATTAAAATGATTTTTCCTTTCTACAAATGTGAATTCTGCAAAATAAAATTTTATGTATTTCCTTTATGACATCAAAACTGTGCTACCCCACGTTTACTCTCATCCAATAACAAGAAAGAAAGAGAAGGCTTTAAACTGTTCATCTGCACAGTTCTCTTCAATTAACCCAATAGGAGAGATGCACTACAATGGATGCTTCACTTCATTTTTTTTTTAACTTTTGTTCCTGTGGATAATACTTTGTGTGCTGAGCTAAGAAAAATAGTTTACCTGAAGAACAGTTTAGCTGTCTATATATTTTCACAAACCAATCTAGAGTACCAGTGTCCTGGAAAATCCCTATATGCTATGCTTCAAAACCATTTTCAACATGGATAAGAAAGGTATTAAAATCTCTTTGTGAGGTAAGGGACTGGAAAGTTGCTGTTATACACCACTTGAGAACTCCGTGCTTTGGGTCAGTAGGGCTGCATTTAGGCTTTCCCATTTCCTTCTTTTCCCCTAATAATTTTATGTGTTGTCATTCCTAGTAAGAATCAAGCTGTCAAGGTAAATAAAATTTACCTAAACTTGTAGAACTGAGCAAAACGTCTAATTTTCTTTCTTTGGTGGCAGTTGTTGAATGATAAAGGTAAGTTCCTAGGTAGGCCATGTTAGGCCAGTATCCGCCCTGCACCTTTTTTTTTCTTTTTTTGTCAGAAAAGATATGATTTCTGGTAAATTTTTAATTGTTATCACTGTCAGTCAGGTCTAGTACACCTAATGGTGCTGAATGGCTTTATTTTGTTTCTTTTGAAAACCCTTCTTTCCTTCTTTGCACAGAGAGGATACAGTGAAATCCGTGAGGTTAAACAGTTCCATTTCACCGGCTGGCCTGACCATGGAGTGCCATACCATGCTACAGGGCTTCTCTCCTTTATCCGGAGAGTCAAGTTATCCAACCCTCCCAGTGCTGGCCCCATCGTTGTGCACTGCAGGTAAGTGGCAGTCCAAATGGCATTGGCTATGTGCAGTCAGCTTTTCAAAAGCTGTCAAGACAAGGTTCTTAAGCACAGAAGCTAATATGTGCTTTCAGAGTTTTTGTTTGCAGTATGTATTACAGCTAATATAAAACACCAATAAAAGAAAAGTTTGCTTTAAAGTAGGATATAAAACAGAAAATTAAGAAATACATATATTCATCCTAATGTGTGTAGAGTTCTCCACAATTACAAGTTTGGGAACTCTGCCTTTTAATGGCAACATCTGTTTTTTTGGAGGATTTTTTTTTATCATCTCTGTAAATCCCATATTGTATGGAATGGTAAGCTAAAGTAGAGATTTCTTGCTAATCTAGTAAATTCCCTCTAGAACTCCAGCTTTTAAAGCTAAATTTGAGCCATCCAGAATTACTAAATGTCCTAAATTGCAAGAATTTATGCTGCAAAACAGCTATTTAACTTTTTTCAAAACACAGTCTAGCAAAGGACCTTGAAAACTACATCAGTGAGATTCAGCAAATATATATAATGAACACTATATCCAGACTGCTTCTGATTAAAAACTTCTCTTAAAACAAGCATTCCAAGACACTAAAAGCAAATTTCATGATTTTGAGATGTGGCCAGAAAAAAATAAAAAGCTCGTCCAAATGCCACATACCATTCACAAATACTATCCCCTCAAAACTACATAATAGGTTGTATTTAAGCATTTTTTTCTTTCTGAAAATCCAACCTGTTTAGAATTTAAGTAACCTGTATAAAAAGAGGAAAAAAGACAGCAGAGAATGAAACAAAGGTAAGGCATTCCTTAAGGATCAGATACACGCCCCCCACCAAAAAAAATTTTCATTTCAATCTTCCTGAAGAAATCTGATGTGCTTTTCAATTACTTTCCTGCCTCACATCCTAGGAATAGTGATTAAGAGGAGGATGGGGGAAAAAAGAGGTAGCCACAATGTCTTTTGCTTAAATTCCTAAAAGAACAGAGAGTCTAAGAGAAGTGAGAAGTCTGGATAAAAAAGAATAATGTTATTAGCCCTGTAAGCATCTAGAAAATTAGATAAGTAGGTTTTCAATTCAGAGATTCCTTGATTTATTGTAGAAGTTTACTTTCTCGTGAATTGCTTTCTTCAGAAGTGCTCCAGGATTCTCAGACACTCTTGAAACAAAAGTATCATTTTCCTCCACACGCTGGCATCTCTGGACTTACAGAAAAGAAGAAGCTGACTACAAAGTGGAATTTAAACAAAACTTTTACCTTGTTTGCTCCATTGATTTTGACATATAAAATTGGAGAGACATTTCCAAAGGGTTTATAATCTGCTTTTTGATGAAATATGAGATAGTGGGCTTCATTGTGACTTACAGGAAATAGTATTCTATAGCAAACAATTTATTTTTAGTTTCTCTTTGGGTCTTGATTAAGATATCCTTTTCTCCTACTGGGCTCCTCCTCTGATCACCATCATTCTTTCCCTACCTATCTCCATTGGCATTTCCTGTGAATTGCAGATCCTCAGATTTTCCATTTGAAGACTTTGGGATTAATATTCTTTTGCTTTATGTTTACATGGGCCTCTCTGAGACAGCGAACCACCATTCTCACATTTTTTCCAGAGAATACATAACTAGATGAGTGTGAAAGAATTTCAGTGTGTAGTTAAATTCTGTAGCATGAATCCACCTCTTGGTCAATCCCATGAGTTTAAAATTATGTACATTCCATTTGCATAAAACGAAGATATGGCATACCTACATCATTTTCAGTGTGGAAATAATTTGGAACTCTTGTCCTAATCTTCAGTTTATACCAAACCAAATACTCCACATGAAGTTATTTGTAAATTAATAAGTTTTTACACAGCATGTAAAAAAATGTATCTTGCACTTTGTTATATCAATTTGATTTCACCTATCTAAAAATGGAAATATATTCAAGGTTGCAAAGACAAACATGCTTCTCACAATTCTTTAAATTGAATTTTTTCAGTGCTGGTGCTGGACGAACTGGCTGTTACATTGTGATCGACATCATGCTGGATATGGCTGAAAGAGAGGGCGTGGTTGACATCTACAACTGTGTCAAAGCCTTACGATCTCGCCGCATCAATATGGTTCAGACAGAGGTAGACTGATTGTGATGAACATCTTTTTTTTTTTTGAACTTCCAACATTTATCAAACAAAACAGTGGATGCTTTTTATATGTAATGAACATTAGCTCATATAGGCAGATTTGGATATCTTCATGTATATTCTCTGTATCCTCTTCCTTCACGAGAAAAGTTTTATTAAAATAGTATGAATTTTTTTCTTTCTTTTAATAGGAACAGTACATTTTTATTCATGATGCCATTTTAGAAGCCTGTTTATGTGGAGAAACTGCCATACCTGTCTGTGAATTTAAAGCTGCATATTTTGATATGATTAGAATAGACTCCCAGACTAACTCTTCACATCTCAAAGATGAATTTCAGGTATAGACTATTTCTAAGGCCTCTTTTATGACTTAATAGAATTTGTTCTGGGCATTAATAATTCTTCTAAGAAAGGTCTTACAAGTCAAATTTACAACCCTTGACCCCACTTCAAGTATAATATAATACCTTTCTCTTTCATTACACATATTATGGAATCACTTTTGTATTAATCAACTCTTATCTGTTATGTCCTGAAGAGCAAATGAGTTTATACTCATGGAAAAGTATGAGAAAAAGGTATTATAAAAGTCAAATTTGGTGATGATTTGTGTGTGCTTATAACCTCTTTTTCTATGTAACCTTATGGATTTTGACCTTCTGTGTCATTCCCAATGTGAGGAAATGAGCACATTAACATTAATAGCTGAAGTTTGTACTACACATTGTCTCTAACTAGCCCCAAAGATTTTCACTGCCCTTACAGCATCCCTGAAGATGGATGGAAATGGAGCCAGGGTAGTTTTAGAAAACCAATCCTTTGATTCTTGGACTAATGTTCTACCCAGCACTCCACAGTACATCTTCAAACGTGGTGTGCCAAAATGTGATTGCAAATGATAGTGCCACAAAACAACCATGCTGACTGTATTTTCTTTAGTTGAATAGTGTATTTCTCAGGGAGATGTGGTGTTTAGCTTCTGTATTCCTTTTAGGAAGAGGCGCATTGGGTAATGTGTGTGTGTTGTGTCTTTGGTACTTCTCAGGCTTCGTTAGCTTCAAAAGTCTTCTCTGCCCTATTACAGTGGCAACTGCCATTGCCTTGCACAAATCCTTCATTTTCTACTTGGCCTCCTAAATCTTTGATGGGTCTGTGTTATGCTATTAAATGGGTCACTGTTTTTTAACCTGGATTCCCTCTTCTTTTTAGACTCTGAATTCAGTCACCCCTCGACTACAAGCTGAAGACTGCAGTATAGCATGCCTGCCAAGGAACCATGACAAGAACCGTTTCATGGACATGCTGCCACCTGACAGATGTCTGCCTTTTTTAATTACAATTGATGGGGAGAGCAGCAACTACATCAATGCTGCTCTTATGGATGTAAGAGACTGCTCTCTTTGTTGGTGTAAAGTACCATGAAAATCTACATAATGCAGCTGAACACTGGCTACTTTTCTAGGAAATTAAAGTGGGCTAGAAAGAAAATTGAAAACTCTCACTGAAATACAAATTCAAGGGGAAAGTGTTTTAGATTTCACCTGCAGAGTAATTATAATTTTTATAGCTTTATTGTAAATTTTGAGCTTAATTTTCAATTATTATCTTCATACAGGAGATACCACGAGTTATATTTTTCATCATAATTACTTACAGAAAACAAAGTTATGCCCTACTATTTTGAGTATCATTAGGACTGAAATTTTAAAAATCACAGAACTCTACATGCTTACAAAGTTGTGCTACTTTGGGAAATTTTTATCTGCGATGTGTACGGTTCCCATAATTTATAGGTAACTTGTTTCATTTGCTGTTAGTGAATATAGACTATTTGTAAGTAACTAGGAAGCTGTATACATTAGCGTGTTAATATATCCACCATCATGAAAAACTATCCTGCCCCATTCCAGTCTGTCACATGGTTGGGGTGCTAGTACCTACAAACAGAATGCCGTGGAAAACAGCACTTTAAACTAAGTCTCTAGCCATCTTAGTTTGGCTTCTCTGGAAAGAAGCAAGAAGGCTATCAAGGTTTGGAACCCTTCAAACAGTTTGTCGTCTTCCTTTTTAGCTTTCTCATTTTCACTTATGAAATGATAGCAGGAAAAATTAGAAACCAAGATTCATTGCTGATTATAGTGAAGATTTCTACGTTGTTGCTTCTGTGTTTTTTCTTCCTTCTTATCTTTTCTTTTTTGTTTCTTTTCTTCACTCCTAGGTTTTGCACTCAGTGCCTTGGGCTTGCCAGGCCCACACCTGGAAGTGTTCCACCCCTGCCCTCTACTCTTTTTAGTTTGGATTTTTCTTTTGTTTGGATAGGGTCTTGCTTTTTGCCCAGGCCAGCCTCAAGTCTGTGATACTTCTACCTACGCCTCTTGTGGGATTATAGGAGTGTTCCACCATACCTACCGATTTGCTAAGATGGGATCTTCATAACTTTTTGGCCAGTCTGACCTCAAACTGTGATCTGCACCATACCTAGCCTCCTAGGGTATTTTCTAAAGCTGTTTTCTGTAAGTTATGAATCTCGTATGGAGTAGAAATATAGAAAAGCCTACATTTTAATTTTGACTGATCTTATCCAGGTACTATACTCTTTTGTGTGCTACACAGCAGAATAATCTAAATGCAAGCTCTAATGAAAACCTCTCGGGGGCTAGGCACAGTGGCTTACACCTTAACCCCAGCTCCTTGGGAGGCAGAGATAAGAGTAAGGCCACTCGAGGTCAGACTGGGCAAAAAAAACTTAGCAAAACTCAATCTGAACATGTTCCTTCTACTTTGTAAGCACAGGCAGTAGGATCACAGCCCAGCAAAAAGCATGAGACCCTATCTGAAAAATAACTGAAGCAAAAAAGGGCTAGAGGTATAGCTCAAGTGGTAAAATGCTTGCTGCACCAGTCTTGCCATGGGTTTAAATCATTACATGTAAACATTTGTCTTAATTTTAGTGTAGGTCTTGAGTCTACACTAAATGCAGAATGACAGATTGCTCTGACTATATAAGCACTGCCTTTACTACCCCTCCTCTGGAAAAAGACAAAAGTATCAGCTCCTAATCAAGGGGTACTCGGAAAACAAGGTCCTGTCTCACCCATGTGTGGTTCCAAGAAGTGTTGGTGTTGACTTTTTGGCACTTGAAAATTGTTGATGATTGAAAGTATCACTCTTACCACTGATATACGTCAGCAGTGTCCTGGACATCATGGAGAGAACTTGCCTATTACTGGATAGGCTGATAAGACATATACAATAAAATAGCCCAAGAGTTTGAGGAATTGGGGGGGGTCTTTACATTTGGAGAAGAAAATCAAATTGTTTTACTCACATACACATATGCATACACACACAGAGAGAAATGATTATTACACAGACCAAGGCTTTTTTTGCTTCCTTTGCCTTTAGCTTTTCAGAGACTCAATAAGTTTGGGAAATTGGAGGATCTTAAGCTCAAGAAATTTATGCATTTCTTCTTTCATTTTCCTACCATATTTATTTCTCTCAATGAAGCAGTAATTCAATTCTTGACTTGCATTGCTTTGGAAGCATCAAAGTCTTCCCACCATATTGACTTATTACTAGTTCTAGTATATTCCAGTGGCTGCCATGGCTTCTACAATGCTGGTTCCATCTCTGTGTGAAGTTACTACCTCTTACTGGTCCAGCATTAAAGTGTACTAAATGTTTGAACAGCTGATTGTGCATTTGATATTCTTATATTTTTCCATCTACTATGTTTCTTCACAGAGCTACAGGCAACCGGCAGCTTTCATCGTCACACAATACCCTCTGCCAAATACTGTGAAAGACTTCTGGAGACTAGTGTATGATTATGGCTGTACCTCCATTGTGATGTTAAATGAAGTCGACTTGTCCCAGGTCAATGAGCATGGGATGCTTTTGTGTATTTGTATATAACTTAATAGAACAACAATAAAATGTTAATTTCTGCTTTATAGGATCCTAATTAGAAAAAAATAACACTCGTTTCTTTTTCTTTAAAAATATTCATCATCTAGGGGTGCCCTCAGTACTGGCCAGAAGAAGGAATGCTGCGATATGGCCCTATCCAAGTGGAATGTATGTCTTGTTCAATGGATTGTGATGTGATCAACCGGATTTTTAGGATATGTAATCTAACCAGAGTAAGTCTTTTTGGGGTCATCGTAACTGAGCTGGTTCAGAGCAAGTAGACATTCCTTTCAGGCATCAAGGAGAGCATTAATGAACACCACATAATCCACAGCCAGAGCTAGTGACACCTTATTCCTTAATACAAGCACAAAAATACATTCCAGATACAGAAAATAGAAATGCCCAAAGCTAGATTTTCTGGCCACTTACTAGTAGGCTGGTACATTCCATCTGGAAATCAAGATTCAGATGCAGTAGTTTAGTCAGGTTTGATAGTCTGGGCCTAGTTCCTGAGCGTGTGTGGACTTAAGTGAAGGATAGCTAGTTATTTTAGGAGTACAGACATAGGACCAGAAGAAGGCATGCAATTGAAAAATAAGAATATAATAATAATGATGATGAAGACAGAGAGGCTTTACCTCAGGAGGAAAGGATATGTCAGATCAATCGTTATAGGAGAGACTTCCATGCCATTATTCCAACACCTGTGTACCAGAGAGAAATGTAGGCCTGAAGGAGAAGGTAAATCACAGCCATCTTCGATTCTCCTCCTACCCACAATTCTCTTTCTAAACATCCCAGGCTTTTGGCTTTGCCTGATCTAAAGAGAGAACCAGTGCTGCCGCTGCCGCTGCTGCTGCTGCCACCGATCCTTTTCCCTGCAGCTGAGTAGCAACCATGTCCCTCGGGAGACTTTCTTTCTCTGACTATTCACATGCTTTGCACTAAACATCAAGTTTGAGTTCTCCCAAAAAAGCAAGAAAGAAAGTACTAATAAAAACTGTCTAGCTTATGTAACCAGATAGCAAGCAGAATGTGAAAACGGTAGTTCAGTAACATCCATAGAACTGTGCTTTTGTAAAGGAATTGATCTGTGTTTTAAAGCACCACCTTAATGTGTGTATATTATGTTAAGTGTGTGATTGGGAATGTCATGTTTCAGTGTTTTTCATATCAAAACGACTTTGTGTGTGTCTTGTTACTTAGTCTATATGTATATAACTATGAGCATGGGATAAAATCATATCTAATTCTATCGCTTATTTCAGTGGAGAAAAAAAGGATAAGTTCAATCATGTCATAATATTCATGCATATCTTAGATGTTAATTTAAATGGAATCTCATTATATCTGCACATCTGTTACATTATGGTTCTGGTAATATTTTAGCTGAGCAACCATAGCTGCTGAACTAAGAAAGTAAAACTCATCTGTGACTTGAGCTGTTTATATGAAAAATATTCTGGGAATAAGACCTGAAATCTGTTACTTTTTTTCAGCATGTATATTTATTTGTTCATCTTCCTCCATAGCTGATGTTCTGGTACTTATTAGTGCATAGTATTTTTTCTTTCCCAGTCTCATTGTTTAAGATGATTGCATTTCATCAAGTATTTAGTATGCACAAAGTTGGGTATTGTAATAGGTGGAGCCTATGTCCTAATAACATATGTATGCGTACTCGCCATGTGGAAACTTAAGATCTGACACCTCACACTATGGCTAACTCAGTGTATTTCATAGTCTTACTTATGTTTTGTATTGAGGGTTTAAGATTTTGACTTCTCTCAGCAGTACTAGTATTTAGAAAGTATTACAGAGTTTCAGGGGAGAGAGAGATTTCTTTATCCTTAAGGAATGTATATTTTATCAGGGAAGATGAGCATTAAAGAGCTAATTCTATAGTCATTTATTTACTAAAATGATATATGTGTGGCCAAGGAAAAGCACAGAATAGAGTTTATTTAGAACTGGACAATGAAACATAGCTGGGTAATCAGAGAAGAGGTCTCTAAGACAGTGAATTTTAACCCAAAATTTGAAGAAACAGTAGGTGCTATTTGCTGTGAGTAACCAACTGTCTTGTTTGCCCAAGACAGAGAGTTTTCCCAGGACACATGAGTTTCAGTGCTAAAACAGGAAAGTCCCCAGGCAGCTAGCTGGGTCAAGTTGATTACTCTACTTGGGATTGAGAAGGACAATCAAGAAATAAGTTTTCAAGGCAAAGGGGACAGCCTCTCCAAGTCCTTGAAGCAAGATGTGACTTGATACATGGATTAAAGGAAGACCAGTATGTCTAGAACCAGAACACTGTGTTAGAATAAAAAGAACTTTGGTGAAGGAGGTGGTCCCAGATTATGTAAGGATTTTTAAGTCATCACAGAGATTTTAATTTTGTTCTAACATCGTTTGGAAGTCATTAAAGCAGGGGATGACAAGATCATCTTTGCACTTTAATCTTGATGCTTATAGTAAGAATGGATTGGAGGGAGATCGAAGATTATTCAGGGAGATCAACTAGGAGGTAATTATAACTTGTGATTGGCAGTTGCAATAAAAAGATAGAGGTGAATATGAAAGTTATTTAGGAAGTATAATCATGGAACTCAATAACTGGATTTGGGGTGTGAGAGAAAACAGATACAAAGGAAAATTCCTATGCTTCTTGCTGCTGTAACTTAGAGTGTTTCTATAAGAGCATGCATATAGTTAAGACTCTCATCAACTAGACTCAAGCCAATGTAAATTTCATTTGTATTATAAAGTTTGTACACTTTTTACATTTTTAGCAAAAATTCTACTCCCAACATATTCACATAAAAATACTTTCCCCTCTACAGCCACAGGAAGGTTATCTGATGGTACAACAGTTTCAGTATCTAGGGTGGGCTTCTCATCGAGAAGTGCCTGGCTCCAAACGGTCATTTTTGAAACTGATACTACAGGTGGAAAAATGGCAGGAAGAATGCGAGGAAGGGGAAGGCCGGACAATCATTCACTGCTTGTAAGTAGAGCAGCCATGCCACCTTTGTATTTTTTATGCTAAAAAGTTTCTGACTTGCTGGATCCTCATGGCTCACACCTGTAATCCTAGCTACTCCTGAGGCAAAGATCAGGAAGATCTTGATTTAAAACCGACCCAGGCAAATAGGTTGTGAGAGCCTATCTCAAAAATATCCAACACAAAAAAGGGCTGATGGTGTGGTTCAAGTGGTAGAGTGCCCTGAGTTCAAGCTCCAGTACCATAAAAAAAAGTTCCTGACTTGAGCCAAGAGCCAGTGGCATAGCCCTGTAGAGCTACTCAAAATGCAGAGATTGGGAGGATTGTAGTACCAGGTCAGTCCAGGCAGCAACTTTGCAAGACTCCATCTCATCCAAAAAATTGGATGTAGTGGCAAGTGCCTGTCATCCTAGTGATGGTGAGAATCATAAAACAGGAGAAACACTGTCCAGGATGGCCTGTGCAAAAAGCGAGACCCTATCTCCAAAAATAACCAGAGCAAAAAAGACCTTGAGGCATGGCTGAATCAGTAAAGTGCCCACCTTTCAAGCATGAAGGCCTGAGTTCAAACCCCACACTACCGAAAAAGCAGGAGTTTGGGATGGGTAGCGGTTCCTGACTTGCATGATGACTGACCTCACACAGATATTACTTTAAAATGGAACTCCTGTCTTATGATCAACTAAACTGCTAACTTTAATTTTTATATTTTCTAAATATAGATATATGGTTGTTATATGATTTAAACTCTTTTTAGCACTACTCTGAACAACTATTCTGATTTATACCATTTTTAAATACTTGGAATCTCAAGGTATCTTGGTTGCAGCAATCTATGCCTACAACATCCTCAGGTTTCCTCTTCTCTAGACACATACATAAAGCAAGATTAATACAAAAATGGGGGAAAAATTTAAAGCTAATGTTTTCTTTGCTTAAACATACATGATGGTATGATGTGTAATCCCTCCAAAGCTGCTAAAATCCCCTTGCTTTTTCTGCCTTCAGAAATGGTGGCGGCCGAAGTGGCATGTTCTGTGCTATAGGCATTGTTGTTGAAATGGTGAAACGACAAAATGTTGTTGATGTTTTTCATGCAGTAAAGACATTGAGGAACAGCAAGCCAAACATGGTGGAAGCCCCGGTAAGTCACCAGATCTTAAACTAGGAAGGGATCTTAGAGATTGGCTAGTCATATACCTTCTTATTAATTTAAGTACATATACATGTGGGGAGTCAGAAGAGAAAAGGAGTTTTTGTGGGGACTTCTCTGCCTGATTGTTAGTCTGTGAACAGCTCCCTCTACCCACATAACCTCAGCATATATTGCACAGTAATGAAGAAAACTTTTTCGTTTTATATAGGAAATATATAGGATTTTTTTTTCCTGTTATAGTCAATATTTGCTGTAATGAACTTTGGTAAATGGCTCTATAAGAAAAAAAATGTCCTGCTCTCTAGGCTGTAATCGCATTTTTTATTTCTGAAAGCATACTGAGTTAACTAGTAAAAACATTTATCTGAGGCCATGCTCATAGGTTTCCTTAGTATTTTAGATACCCAGTGATTTGGGGGATGTTGTTTAGTTCCATCTGTTTGCTTGCTTGTTTTTTGTAGTGCAGGGCCTCATGCATGCTAGGCAAGCTCTGTACCACAGAGATACACCCTCACCCCCAACACTCAGAATTTTTAAAGGGCAACTTAAATTGATTTTAGTTGTTATTTGCAATTCTTGATTTTCTGATTAAATTATAAATTGCTAACTGTCATTGTTGACAGTTTTCTGTTTACCAGCTGTGGAGTACAGTTCATATAATGTCACATGAGTTCGCCTGGTTTCATAAAATGCAGTTTACAAAATAAGAGCTGATAGGTATATGTGAACAAAGTTTCATCTGGGTGAGGCTGAATGCAGAGTAAGAAAGAAAGCTACTACCTCTCTAATGCATCTTCTAAAGAGAGGTGCCTGTGGGTTACGCACATGTACAGGATAGGTCGGGCTGTTCTTTACACTCACAGAAAAGCAAACCAGAAAAACCAAGGCATCATTGTTGGCTTGCCTTACCTTTATCAAGATGATCAGATAACTAAAATGAGCGATTCAATAAACCTTTCATGTATTTTCACCACTTCCTGCTCCTGGGTTGTTCACATGTGAGGCGCTCTGCTTCCTGAGACAAAATCTGAAGATGTAGGTTTATGCTGTTTCACTTTTACAAGTGGCTGAGGGCTTCTGCCCTTTATCAAGTCCCTTCTCACCTGCCTCACTCCTCCTGGGACAAGATGATGTTGGTTTTGTCTGGGGTACTAGTAATTGAGGTGAAGAAAGAGAGTGGTTTCAGGGATTTTTTGCTAGAACTTTCAGATCTTTCTACAAAATGGATGGGTACTAGTCCTGTCTTTAAACTCTTTCTGGTTTGAAGATTTGTAAACTGTAAAATGCAAGCTCTGCCTTCATCACTCAGACCAAGTATTGTTACAATCATCTGGGAAATCACTCCTGACTTCAGAATTCAACTTTTGCCTCCAAGTTTGACTTTAATATCCCACTTTTTTCTTTAAATTTAAAATCCATAATTGACCTCTGCCATTCTAGAACCTTCCATTGAGTTCCATTGAGTTACTATTTCCTGTTACATTCATGTCCCATGAATCCTGACTAAACCCCCTGTTGAATCAAGGTTAATAATTAGTTCAGTGTGCTGTGTGGTTGTGGTTGAGCTGAGTTGAATTTGGTAAGGAAATCAGAGTGACAACAAAACTGAGAGACTGTTTAAAGAGACATAACTGTTTTCACCTATGTTTTGGTTCTTTGGGTGGATGTGCCACAGTGGTAAGCTAATTTTAATCATATTTACTTTGGAAATTAGACTAACAATGATGCCTACCTCTTGGGGAAACTTCTATTACCCAAATTTATTGCTAGAGATACCTGGAAGTTCTCCTTAGAAATAATATGCATTTTAGATTGTTCTCTAATTCAGCCTGAATTTTACCCACTTCAACTGAATTGAGAAGTTACGTATTATAAATCATAAGTGTAGTTTGTGAATTTTTCTAAATTCTTTCTAATAGAACAAGTCCATAATGAACTTAAAGAAAATACAGTTTTGTCCAGTCTCCAGTGGCTCAGGCCTATGATCCTAGCTACTCAGGAAGCAGATATCAGGAGGATTGCAGTTCAAGGCCAGCCCAGGCAAACAGTTCAAGAGACCCAGCTGCAGCGGGGCTCCGACTCTGACCCTGGGGGCTCGAGTAGCAAAAAAGGATAGGAACTCGGGGTTGTGCCGGACAGCAGTGGCGTAGTTCGTTTTCTGAGGAGCGTATTTAAGCAGTGCAGACAAGCAGGAAGGAATACGTGGCAGTGCCCAGGTTTCCCTTGACCTCTGTACTAGGATTGGCTGTCATGTTACTATGGCTACGAGCCCAAGTGCCGAACATCATGATCTTGGGACTGGGTCTTCCCGGTCCCACACAGAGAGAGAACAGGGTTGTTCAGCAGCTGACCTCTTGGACAGCTGCAGTCTCGTTTAGGGCTGTTGCACAAAAGCGACAGTGACTCCACTCCTTTCCGAGAGGCTTTGGGGGTCCTGAGGGTTTCCCACATACCTTGAGGATATCCAACACGCTAAAAACTGGGGGGAGGAGCTTGTAGAGTGGCTTAAGTGGTAGAGTGCCTGCTTGGCCAAGTATGAGGCTCTAGTTCAAATCCCTCTATTGCCAAAGAAAACAGTTTTAACACAAAATTTTATTCCAACCAAGTTGTCTTACTTAGAGTATGGTGGCAAAGATAAATTTTTAGGTATAGGTAGGCTTGGAAAATTTAAGAACCACTAACCATTCTTATAAAATTTGCTTAAGTAGCGCTCTGGTGGACCATGAAGTGTGACAGAAGTTAAAAACTTGAAATTGCAAAAGGCAGTGTAAAATGATTGGCTTTCTTTTCCTTCCCTTTTTTTTTTACTCCTAAGGAAATAATCAGAACTGTGGAGAAAGTATTTGGCTGTATCTTCATCATAGTGGAAAACAACTTAAGCAATCCATAGGGTAGACTTTTATGTAATATTAAAAGAAATGTTAAGTAACATGGAAAAAGACACATAATGTTACACAAAAGAAAGTAAAATATAAAGTTATACTGTGAAATATGTAATTAGGTTTATTCTGAGATAATTATTATTTCAACCATGTATTTTAAAAAGGCTGAAGTAAACTAAAGTGATATTTTAACAACAATTGCATCTGATGATAGAATTATAGCTCTTCTCCTTATTCTTTATATTTTTCTATGCTGGAAAATTTTCCTGTAATGATGAGGTTGTACTATTATAACCAGATACAAATTCTGGACATTTTTAAAAATTAACAGAAAATACAGGACAGAGATAAAATGTCTTTTATCATTGTTTGTTTTTCTTAAACAGGGGTCATTAGTGTAAAATATTTATGCTCAGATGTTCATCCTGTACAGAAAAACTAGCTTGTGCTTCTCGAATAACCTAACTTGAGTATTGAGTGTTCACTTGGTAGAAATTATTCACCACGAGACTTTCCTGAACTTCTCAACCTTTTGTTGTGACGTTTTCCAGGAGCAGTACCGGTTCTGCTATGACGTTGCTTTGGAGTACCTGGAGTCATCTTAGTTGATGGCATGTTTTACAGGCATCTCAATGGAAACCCACTCACCTGTTGAGCCAACAGCAGCTGTACCTTTTACACCTGTGCAGAAAGATTTTTGAAGTGGGGGGTGGGAGGCTTTTACATTTGAGAGGTAAAAGTATTTTTCTTATGAAGTTGTGTACCTTAATAAAAAGAACTTGATTAGTTTCTTTTACTGTATTAACGCATCAGCATTTCGTGCCACATGAAATCTATTTAATACGAACCCGATTCAAGTGAGAACTTATCAGTGTTTGTACAGTGAATATGCAGCCTTTTCTCTCCTGGCTTCAGTAGAGCAGTCACCACATGTTGCATGAATTAATATATTTTCTATGTGGCATTTTCTTCCCTTTTTAAAATAAAAGCTGTTGAATCTTTAAAGGAAGAAGAAAAAGAGCTGTGCAAATTCATAGAAAATTTCATTTTTATATGTTGCAAGTGTAGCAGATCCCTATATAAATATATAAATATATATAACTGGCTTATTTTCTTTTAATGTGCAATGATGGCTGGATCACTTAAAGTTCTTTTTAGAAAATAACATAAGCCAAAGACTCAAGTGTAAATATGTCTATATGGAGAAAGCACATTATATTTATTGGTGACTTACATTCCTTTTTTGATGGCTAAAATACTGCCACCACACAATCATTTTTGTTTCTGAAGAAAACTTTTTCTTTAGCTAAAATCAATTGTAAACGATTTTTGTAGATTATTTTTTGTATGTTTTAGTGTAAGTAGAAGATAAACTTTTTATTCATAAACCAGGAAGCAATGTTCTTTTCAGCAGTTCCCTTGTGTACATGCTTGTGAATTAAATTTATGTAAAACACTTTGGCAATTGTCTTTTAATAGAGGACCAAATTAAAACAATTTTGCGGAAAATGTACTTTTTCACAATTTCATTAGGTAAATAAGATAAGAGAAATGCACACATTAAAAGGCATTGCTGTGACTTGCACAATGTTGAATATAGGCTTTAAGCATTGTTTAAACTTTAAAGCAATCGATCTTTTCCGCCTGTGGCCAAGCACTGGTCAAGAACACAAGATGGTAGTGTTTATGCTTTCTAGGTCAAGTTTTAGCAAACTGTCAAGGTGATAAAATGTTTCCTTTGATGTTTACACGCACGGGCTCTGGGCTCTGACCATAGAAAGTGTGAACAAATCAATGCCAGATTCCTGTTTCGTGCATTGTCCTGGGATTTTCAAGTGAACCTTTCTAAGTGTGGTCTTCTTCCCATGCTCCACGTAGCTGTAACTTCACATCATCAGCTTGCAGTTTGTTACTGACTAAGGCATTCTCGTGTCCTCTTTCTAGATTGCCAGTTCATGACATGGTGCTTATAAAGATCTCCTTAAAGTAAGAGTGAAATAAAATTTTATAATTTCAGCAGTTACTGTTTGCACACGTCATTGTCTCACCCTAAATTTTCATGCCTTCACTCCCAAATAATCAGCCTGTTCCTATACTCTATTAAAAGCATAACCAATATCCAAACTCTAATTTGTCTTATTTTTGTTCCCTTATTTAAATGTCAAATAGTCCACATGAGTAGAGGGGAAAATGGTTAGGAGTTTGATTATTATTTTATTTGGTTTTGTTTGTTTCTATATTTATATGTCACTGTGTGTGAATTAGACATACATCTTTCCATCACTGTGACAAAATACCTGAGAATATCAGCTTAAAAGAAAGAAAGCTTTATTTTGGCTCCCAGTTTCAAAAATTTCAGGCCAAGTTTGTATAGTCCTATCACTTCGGGCCTGTGTCAAGGCAGAGCTCATGGCAGGAAGCACATGGTGGGGCAAAGCTGCTCACCGCATGAAGATGGAAAAGGAGAGAGAGAGAGATTGCATTTATAACCGAACACCTACTCTATAACCATTAAACTATGACTCCATAAATGGATTAATCCACTCATGAGGTCAGAGTCCTCATGATTCAGTCACCTCCCAGAGGCCCCACCACTGAACAATGCTGCATTAGAGACCAGGCCTTCAACACAGGAGCTTTGGGGGAACATTCCCAACCATAACACCTTCCGTTTAAGTAATAGCACATTTCCATACTTCTTTGTAAGAAACTCGACAAATAGTAATTCTGTGTTTTACAGATGGTTATGCTAAAGATAATGAGAAGGTCAGTGATCCAAATCTGAGTAGATTAAATCTGAGACTGATTTAACAGCTCTTCTGTCCACGTTACACAATGTCAAAAAGGTAGACAATGCTCAAGTTCGCATTTGCTGTGTACACTACTAAAATATTTGTAACTTTTATTAGTAAGAATTCAGATGAAGTAACTTTCTCTGATTTTAATTTTCGTTTAAACATGGAGATGTTTAACAAACATGGAGGCTGTTGTAAGCCACTTGCGATTGCTAAGACAAAATACTTGAGTGTGGTGATTTATGAAGAAAAGGACCTATTTTTGGCTTTCTAGAGGCTAGATAGTCCAAGAGCTTTGCATCAGCATCCTCCTGACTTCTGGTGAGGGACTTATGCTGCTTTCACTCATAGTAGAAAGTGGAAAGGCAACCAATGCCTGTGAAAGAAAGGGGCCTAAGTCAGGGTAGCTAACTCATTCCCACAAGGAAGCTACATCCATGACACCACCACCACCCACTAGGTCCCACCTCCCAACATGAATTTTGATAGAAATAAACCATACTGAAGTCATGGCTGAAACACTTAAAAGTCCACAAACTCACCCAGGATTTCTTTACCCGGCAATGTTCCTGTGTTGCTGCTGCAGAGGCTTTTGTTTGCTAAATGACCCCCTTTTCATTTCTACTCACGAGTGTATCACACACCACTAAAATCACCATGAATATAGCTGCCCATAAAGTGCAATAGTCTATGTAGCCTCCAAAATTCAGGCAAAAAAACAAAAGGAGTTCTCTTTCTCTGCCTCAAAAAATAAAAGGGTTATGCTTGATTTATTTGGTTACCACATAGGCTAACTCATCAGAAGACAATGTGAGAAGCCTAAATCTGTTTTTGTAAAAACTCATACTGTAGTTGGGCTTGGTGGGGCATACCTGTAATCCTAGTACTCAGAGGCTGAAGGACTGTGAGTTCTAGGCCAGCCTGGGCTACTTAGTGATACCCTGTCTCATAAAAACAATAGAAAAACAAAATACGCATACTTTATACCCTTGAGGATCTCCCTGAGTAGACCTGTTCATAGCCATGTCCTGCCTCACCATGTCCCTCTGGGGAATATGTCTTGGCAAAATAGCTCTACAAAGTTGACAAGCTTTTCATTATTAATGGCTTTCTATCACTATATCAGTTATTCCTTACATGGCTGTCATGAAATTGAATTTTACAGACCTCCTTGTATATCATCACTAGGAAAATGTTGGAAGTATATGGGCAGAAACACATAAGCAACTGGGAATTTATGAATTTCAGTCAAGTATTTTTGAAAATGTCTTAGCCCTATAGTCTGAACTGCTTACCTTGCTTTTTTCTAGTATTTCTCTTTGCAAAAAGGTCTTTGAATGATAGTGCACTGGGGCCAAATGATCTCTGATAACAAAGTTATTTTTGCCTGGACATGGAGAGGACAAGCTACTCGCACACTAATGTGCTGATATGCTCATTCAATATTCATCTATAGAGAATCTCTTGTGTTCCAGGCACTCATGTAACAAGCTTAGAAGTCAGTCATCAACAGCTGCTCCTTCTCACATCCACTTTGTTCCCAAAAATAGGTAGATAAAGAGGTTCCTAGTATCTTAAAAAATCTTACTATAGTGACACTAATAAATACTAAAATGCAGGCGAGTAGTCTGAAGCAGAAATAGGAGTTAGTCTGTTAACCTAAAAGACCACCTTTGAGATTAGCCTAACTTTCCTAGGGAAGTAACAGTTGTACTATTATGCTTAATTTCTATGAGTTTTAGCTGAATAGCCAGAAATCAATATTCTGTCACATATCCAAATGTAATTTGTTACATTTACCTATAAAATATTACACAGGCAGACACTTTCATGGCCTTCCTGGACTCATCGCAGTGTTTTATAGTAAATATCCTTATTTAATGTGTGGTTCATATGCTATTTTATTCAATACTATACTATGTGAAGATACAAGACAGTTGGCTGTGCCATGCTTAGCAATTTCCACCTATATATTATTTCATAATACTTATATATTATTTAATAAAGTCTCCCTACAGCTTAGGGAGGCTTAAAGTAGGAGTGATACTATCTGAATTTGTTCATAACTCTGACCTATTCAAGCAATCTGCAGAGTACTAGAATATTATCTTTCTGAAACTCAAAGGAAAGGTTCTGTATTGGGATCCATTTTAAGTAAGCTGTAAGTGGTTTCTGGAATATAAATTGTCCCAAAAAAATCAATGAAAATGTGATAGATATATAACACTTCTGAACTGCTAGCTTCCTCCAAAGTGAATTAAAATGTTAACCAGGAAGATAGCAAACACCACAAAGACACTGTTGTAATAAAATCCTAAAAGAAATTAATAGATGGATTTCTAAACCAGTGAAACAAACATGAGATCCCTATAGAATGTCTGAAAGCTCTTACTTTAACGTTAAAATCTGTCTGGAGAGGGAAGTGGGGAGAGATTTTATGACAGATAACATCTCATAATGCACTTGTCAATTGTAGAAAATGATCCACAATTCATGCAATCTAATGCACAAAATTGAGTGCAGATTTATTCTGATTAATCTTTTTAAGTTGTATTACTCTTGATTCAGTCCCTATTATGTAACATTTAGGTGTAAAACAAAAGAAAACAAAAAACAACCCTCACTACTTAGAGGCAATCTGTGCAGATATAGGAACAAAAATATCTGAATGGAGTCACCAGTGAGTTCTTTTCTTCCACAGAAATTGGAATGTACAGGCAGCAAAAGGCCACGCATTTAGCTTCTGCTGCATGGTCTTGGAGACATAATAAAACTAGAGATGTAGAAAAGGAATGATTGTCAAGGCGTCCTTTGGTTTTTGTTGAGAAGAGAGTTGCAAGCTCATGGCTGCAGACCAGCAGATACTGTGAGTGGGAGATTCAAGCCATGTGTTTTTGTAAATGACTACTCAGATCATCTTATTGCAGCAAATATCTTCAGCTTGTGCTTTTTCTATTGGAATAATTTTCATCTCTTAAAAAATACTCTCCTATTTTTATTAAAACACATGTCCCTCCTGATCATCTTGCTCTTTCAACTTTTGGTTGCAAAATGGATCTTAACTATTCTGCAGTCCTCAGCTGTACCATCAGAAACATGAGTGATGACAAATGGCAACTGCTGTGTGACTCTGAGGCCAC